CCTGTTTATCGGCAATTGTCTGTTTTGTTTACATCAGAAATCAATGAAGCGGTGAATGCGCAGGGAAACGAAAGGACATCTTCGTATCAATACGGTAAATTCCGTGAATATTTTCTAATCAATATGTTCAAGCAATGAAAAATATGAGGATAACATTTTTAATCATAGAGCACACGTTTTGTGTATTTACTATTTAAAATTATAATTTATGAAGAAATATAGCAAAATATGTTTCAATACGCACTATAAAGTGAAGATTAGATGTATTATTGTTTTGTTTTTGAAAGAACATTAATAATCCATACACACCTTTGTACCAAAATTGCAACAAAATTTCAAGATAACATAAATTTCATCATCACAGAATGATATTATTTGCTCAAATTGACATTGCTTCGTGAACTAAATTTGGCTTAAACTATGATAGCAATTGAACACTTCATTATTGTTTCTTCCGATGACCTACTATCATGATTTTTATCCGACCCCAGTTACGGACGCGTTGACATATATAATGCATTCAACTCAATAATAGCCAATCACACGTAAAGATTTCCTTCACTTCCCCCAGACACAGCCCGGAAGCAGCTGAGATGCAGCCATTTAATGTTATTTATAACCAATGAGATACCGTTAACAGATTAACCACATTCCAGACGTCCAGCCTCTGACTAATCAGACCGTATCACCATGGTGATACGGTAATAATTACTAACAGTCTATACATTTATACTGTGGTATCCCTTCCTATTTACGAAAGCTGCTTCGGCTCTAGATGGTGCCTTAATTGTCACATGATTGCAATATATACAACCCCCCTTTTTTTTTAATATTAAACATATTTTCTCTCTTTTCATATGTTCTCGTTCTTATTCAGACGATATTACTATAACAGTAGTTTAAATATGCTATCCCTTATTCTTGGCATATATAAACTTTTGTTATTGGATTATCTTATGGAAAAGAGCAAGAATATATGAAATAAGTAAATTTTAAGTTAAAATTTTAAAGATTATTTACTCAAATAAATTAAACACAAAAAAAACAAAGAAAAAAGGGGGCAATGCCCCAAGTACCTTTGTAAATAATGTATCGTTCTATTTTTCCTATCCAATTGCATATGCTAAAATATCCTATGAGTAGATCACAGAATTACATTTTCTATATCGGTCCTCGTATTATCCCTTGACCGATACCGGACCTCGGCTTAAGCTCTCAGTCCGATAGGGGAATCTGGTGATGACTATGTCGTAATCTATAAATATATTAATTCAATTCTTTTTTGATTGGATGATGATTATTGTTTGAACCCCCTGAGGGGTTAACGCCTATATATTGGTGAGTTTTGGAAACTTCTATGGGCCATTCGATATCCTCGGAAACAAGATTCTCGGAACGTCTCAAAAATTTTCGATCATTTATACAGGTAGTTATCTATGTCTCTGATACGGTCCCTCTATTGATGTGTGACCACGTGACATTGTATTATATTTCGACAATCAAATTAAAGTTCATTTGTAGATCGGAAAGTAAAAACTTAAAGAATAGATTGCAGTAAGAAAGCCATTTATATATTCCAACCTATTTGCTTTTGACAGAACGTATGCGTTTTTATTTGAAAGTATATTAAATATGAAGTATAATGATATTGCAATTATATATTTTATGTTTTGAGACGATCCCTGTACGCGTTGTTTGTGTAGTATCAGAAGTCTAGTAATGGACTTCTGGTAGTATTTAATACAACGTCTTATGGCATTGTGACAATAAACATGGGAATAATATACTGACATTAAATTATGTCCCAGAATAAACTGATTATTTCTGAACGTTTAACATGTCATATTTGTTATTCCATCATAGCCTGAGCAAATGTCGGAAAGCAAGAAGAAAATAAACAAAACGATATTACTGTTAAAAATATTTATCGCTTAGGTCGGAAAACAGAAAGATAATTAAACAAAACGATATTCTGTCTAAAATAGTTATTTTCATTAATAGATACAAACAGACCAAGGGAATATTCATTAAAATTATAAAAGTTTAAACTGAAACTAAATTTATCATTAATAGAATATAATTAATAAATTAATGTTATATTACCATTTCGCGGGTTTTAACAGTGAATACATTTATGAAAATCAAATGCAACATATGAGTACCAATTATCAGGAATGAACACAAATAAATTAGTATCTAATGTTTAAACTGTAGGGAATAAAAAGAAAATAGTCGTATGGTTATAATTCACAAAAATTTTGAATCTTTGCATTTCACAAAAAAACATAATTAATATTTTACAATAATCATAATTACTACGTATACGTTACTAATTTTCTGCCGTTTACGTTGTAGAAGTCTCTGCTTATATTTTGTATAAAAATAAAATAGAACGTTACTAATAGACTTGAAGAAGAGATTGAGTTTAAAAAAAAAATGCCATTAGTAAATACTTGACGTTTGTGTTTATTGATCGTATATTCTAAATTTCTGGAAAAGATTTATTAACAGCTAGGAATGTATGTTATTCAAATTTTAGTTCGTATTTTATTTTTAATAGTTCAACCTTATAGCATCTTAATCTTTGTAATGATTGTGCGATTTTGAAAATTGTATGCATTGTGTTGATCAGCTACACTACAAACGTCTTGCCGTTAATTTACATAATATTACTATTATTATTAAACCTTCAAGTTGTTCACACGACACGCACAACAAAATCGGATTTAAAATCTGGTTTGAAAACTATATCGGTTTGCGTTGACACAAATTCCGGATTGAATGGCAATGAATTCGGAGTCAAACCACTTGGGGTAGGCAGTTTGACATCCGAATTCAACTAACATTAGATTTGAACCTATAATAAATATACGTGATGACGCAAATGCATATTCTTATTCAGAAAATCAGTACGTATGCTTGCCATTTACTATTTCTTGCGAAAGAAAACTACGTGCATGCGTAAACATTGATTTCACTCGTGGTAGGTGATTTTTTGCATTTCTTATCTAATTATTATTAAATCTAGGACACGGTAGTTAGAGCTTGACATGTGATTTTGAAGCATGCTCATCATTGATGAGGTACTCTGACATCTAGTTGTTTTTCTAATCTTTTCTTTTTTGTTGAGTGACTGTCCTATTATAAACTTTGAAATTTTCCAAATACTAAGGATAACCCGGAGAATAGATAACCTTAGCTGTATTTGGCAAAACCTTTCGGAATTTGGGGCCCTCAATGCTCCTAAACTTTATTCTATATTTGGCCCTTTTTAATTTTTTTTTATTCGAGCGTCACTGATGAGTCTGGCGTACAAAACTATAATCCGGACCACGTGTCCATGATGAGTTTATTGATTTTTACCAAATATAAACTTTTTATAGATTGGTTCTTTTGACAATAGACAATACAATAGACAATACTATTGGTTCTTTTAAGTGCATGTTCGGGTATTCAAAACAAAATCTACACACAATAACACATTTTCAATAAAGGTGTTTTAATATTCCATTACCTTATTCTATTAATAGTCAATTATTTCAAATCAAAAGCAAAAATAAATTCAGCAAAAAATATTTGGTGACCAGTCAGTTGTCTCGGGTTCACGTATTGCTTTTCTTTTTTTTTAAAGAAAACAACTTATTTTTACATAAGTTTGATAATTAACTGCATATTGATAATAACTTGAAAAGATAATCAACTTCAATTTAACAAATCTTAAGCTGCATAAAAATGTGTCGTTTTGCCAACAAGAGGCTCACAAGAGCCTGAATCGCTCACCTAGTAAAAAACACGCCGTTTTAATATTTCTTTTTTCCCTTTATTGCAAGCAGTTCAAAGGCAATACATCCTTTTACTAGTGTGACAAATTGGCCATGTTGACCTACTTGCAGATCTTATTTTGCTGATTAGTTTTACTTTTTAAAGGTTCTCATTAAGTTTAACTTTTTAAAGGTTCTCACTAACTCCAATAGTGCAAAACATTCAGGGGGAAATATCATCTATAAGGAGTCTGTTGACAGTTTCGGCCATGTTGACAGATTTGTAGATCTGATTGTTCTGAAAAGTTTTGCTTTTTAACTGTTTCTCACTATCTATGTTAATGTGAGCAAAATTAACTGCACAAACAGAAAAAGAATCATCTATCAAGGGCAATAACTCCTAAAAGGAGTCACTTGACAATTTCAGCCATGTTGACTTGTTTGTAGATCTTATTGTGCTTAAAATCTTTGCTCTTTACACAATTTCTCTCTATCTATAATGATTTCAACAAAAATATAAAAATAACATCTTCCAAGGGCAATAACTCCTGTAAGCGGTCAATTGACAGTTTCGGTTAATTTCACTTATTTGTAGATCTTATTTTGCTGAAAACATTTGCTGTTCACAATTCTACTCTATCCATTATAGTTTCTACCAAAAAAATGCAAAATAGGCAAAACTAGTATTTTCAGGCCAATAACTCCTTTAACAAAGGGGTCAAAACAAAGGGGTCAATTAACCATTAGTCCATGCTGACTTATATGTAGATCTTATTTTGCTGAACACTTTTGCTTTTTAAAATTTCTCTCCATCTATTATACTAGTTTCTGTAACAAATAGGTAAAAATAGTCTTCAAAGGTCAATAACTCCTATAGTGGGTCAATTGACAATTCGTCCATGTTGACAGATTTGTAGATCTTATTGTTTTGTTCAGGTTGACTGTTTAACATTTTTCTCTATCTGTTGTAGTTTTCAGGATAATGCCTTTAAGGCCAGGTGAGCTAATAAAAAGGTATAATTGCAATGATCTCATTTTTTTTTTGTGCTTGAAATAAAGTTATTAAACTTTAGTAAATGAATAAAAAGACAATGGACTAAACGGTGCAAGTCTTCTTGTAAAAAGGTTTAACGAAGCTGAAAAAAGAAAATGAAAAGCTTAAACTTGTAATTGTTAAGGTGTCTCGTTTTACAGTTTAAGATAGGATGATTATTTATATATTCACCATTGACGGCGTAGTCAATTGTAATTGATATTGAAACAACCCTAAAAAGAATAATATCATTTAACTAGAATATTTGGAATAACTATAAGAAGTTCTGAGTCCTTCATATTAGTTATTTTGTGACGTACTGTTTGATAAAGAGATTGAAGAAATTATTATTAGGTAGGTCACTTACTTTACGAAATTGTCCTGCTGATGATATGTTTTTCTCATCATAACTTACAGACTCTTTCTTAACTATTCATAAAGCCTCGGTGGCCGAGTGGTCTTAGTCGAAACATGAAGAATACGACAAAATTGTTTGTAAAAGAAGTCGTATTAGCGGTGATGTGTTAATCGGAAAGATCACTGATATAAATGAACCTTATAATAGAAAACCGATAAACGTGACGGACGATATGAACACTATTATTTACTTTTAAAGGATTTTGATGAAATAACAGAAACGGATTTTAATACGGATAAGGCAAAGGAAGCAATTGAACTGATGATTAACTATGCGAGATGTAATAAAATGTCGGCAATATAAACAAGTTATTAGTCTTTTGTGTGAAAGGTTTGCGGGAAGTTTATATAATTATGTTAGTGATTTAATTCAGAAATATTGACATCAAATTCATATCAAAAAGGTATGTCGTGGACCATTTCGAAAATAAGTGCTGATAAAATATTTTTAATGAGTTTCCCTTGGAAATATTAAATATATCGGAAAGTGACTTAAGTCTTCATTTCTCTATTATGATTTTAAAAAGTTTAGTTATTGCCTTTGGACAGAACAGATAAAATATGTGAAACGCGGGGGACATTGAAACTCATGTTTTTTTTTTATCATGAATGGAATCCATCGGCAAATGCAACAAATTTAGGATTTTTTTGTGATAATATATAAAATTTGTTGTAAATAATATTGGATTTATAAATATCAGGATAACAAAAAAAACTACTGTATCACTAGCCTGTCAACACTGAGGTTGTGAGTTCGAATTCCGCACGTGGCAGGTGCGCTCGACTCCAATCTTGAGTGACTAGGATTGTCAGTTTTCTTACCGAAGGTCTGCTTCTTCCACCAATAAAAACTGACCGCCATGAAATAGCAAAATAGTGCTGAAAGTAGCATTTAACACCAATCAATCAATTAACTAGTCCTACAATTTCAATGCTGTCAACGACCAAAAAAAAGTTATATTGCAGGTATTCATTCACAAAAGACTGAATACAATTTATTTTACCATATTGTCTTGACAAACTATTTTATTGACGTAAAAAGAGAAACATTTTATATTGAACATAAGGTAACACTTATATAAGGAGATGTTGTAAGATTGTCAATGAGACAACTTTCCAACAGAGTCCAATAATGTGGATTGAAGCAACTATAGGTAACAGTAAGGCCTTCAACAATGAGCAAAACCCATACCTTATAGTCAGTTATAAAGGCTCCGACATGACAAAACGTGAAATAAATCAAACGAAATTAACAACGAAAAACAATAATCGAAAAATGAATATGACAAACAGCAACCAACGACAACCATTGTTAAATTGATACCCTTTAAGAATAAGTTTATTCAAAGGATCATTGGGTTTACAAGAATTGTATCTAATTTTAAGGGCTTTATCAACAACATTACCGTGAAAATGAAGACAGTTATTTGATATTTTTAGCCATAGATGAGGAAAGATAAAATACTTTTCTAAATCTCAATATCAACAAGTTTACAGTATGTTAAGATTTTCATTTTTGGTCTGATTTTCAAACTTCTTGTTGCCAAAACCGAGATAATAACAATGATAGCATATGCATTTTGAACTGACGTGCGAACACTAGTTATCAGTTTGTGCGAAAACTTTCGTGAAGACAATGATGCTCTAAAATCAAGAGTCCACGGAAGAGTAATCTATGGACAATTATATTTATTCATTCATTTGTAGAAATGTTTAAGGATTAATGTTTCAAAGAGCATATTAACATCACATTATCAGTATAGAAAATATATATTGAATAAGGAAACAAGGAGATTGTAATGATTAAAAAAGAGATAACTATTCACCAAAGATCAAAGCGTATGGCCTTCAACAATGAGCAAAAACAATACCGTGTAGAGAGCTTTAAATAACTGGAATAAATGTAAAACAAATAAAAAGAGTAAAATAACGGCTAGATGCATGCTTACACATGTAACTTAAAACAAATAATAGTTATGAGGGTATAGAATAAAGACAACAATCACTGGAAACATATTTTGCTGAGGACTTATTTTCAGGTTAATTGCATGAAATAAAAAGCGGCGTGTTTACATTAATTTCTTCAGTTTCATATGCAGATAGACACCATTACTCCATTGTTGAAATGATCTTTTGTGGGGGGGGGGGGGGGGGGGGCATTCTTCGTGTACATACAGTAGCACGATGTTTTAGATATATATGTTGATTAAGAAAATATTTACTCTTTTCATAATTTTAATAGAAACCTTTCATGATAAAAGCTATGACCAGAGGGCGTATTTTATCACAAACAATACATGCTCTAACTTATAAAAAATTTGCATTGTGACTAGAGCATTATATTCTACGGGTCTTTACTGTTGTCTTGGAGCCACAACTAGAAATAAATGTCAAGCTATGCAACTGTCAATTATTGCATTAGGGACTGGTTATTTTCTTTCATTGGAGGGATGGGAGGAAACATCTGATTTTCTCTTATTTTTTTCAAATCCCCACCTTTGTGAATGTAAACCTTCCAAAGATATGAAAATGTCAACCCCCCTCCAATTTCTCTCTATTTTTACATTATTATCATTCAATAAAATGGTGTATTAGTAGTGGAAATAAAGTATTCAAGATGGGAAATTGTTTGACTTCAGGGAACTTCATTTAGATATGATCCTTCGTTCAATTTCAGCACAGTGATTGTCCCTATCCCTCATTAAAGAAGTAAGTAAATTATCATACATATTATCCTGGAAAGACATGTTGAAAATTAGGATTTTATCTTAACAATTGGGCCGAGCGGAGCGAGGCGAAAAAAAATTGATGTATTTCCTACCTAAAAAATTATATTTTTTATTATTGTAAGGGGAAGCATTGGGTGTGAGTTGTCTGGCTCCATATCTCCAGGTCATAACGGAAAAGGCCCCCTAATTTCCTCCCACTCTCCTTCATGTTACAAATAACCAGTCCCTTAAGCCAGGTTGTTTCTATATTTCGAGAGGATCAATGGGGCATGTCGTTTTTTCATAACAAAGGAGAAAATGAAGTAATCGAAAACTTTCTAACTTTTAAAACTTGTACTGTGTATATGTCTGAATTGAGTCTGGGTGATACGTGTATGTGCATGAGCTCCGAATGAGACCGGGTTAAACGTGTACTGTATATATATAAGCTCCGATTAAGTCCGGGTTAAGAGTGTACTGTGTTTAAGCTCCGAATGAGTCTGGGTTACACGTGGTTTGTGCATGAGCTCCGAATGAGTCTGGGTTAAACGTCTACTGTGTATAATAACAAAATCAGTCTAGATTAAACGTGTATTGTGTATAATCACCGAATGAGTCTCGGTTAAACATGTACTGTGCATAAGCTCTGAATAAGTCTGGGTTAAAAGTGTACTGTGCATACGCATAACTGTGTTTTTGTTTATTAATTTGGTTCATTGATATGTTTCGGAGATTAGTGGCCAGCTGAAACCCGCCTCCAGGTAAGGGATTTTCTGTGCGTTAAAGACCCAATGGTCAACTTGTTGTTTCTTTGACACATTCCCCGTTTCTATTCTCTATTCTATAAGCTTCGAATTAGTCCATGTTACACGTATACTGTGTATGATCACCAAATAAGTCTGGGTTAAACATGATCTGTGTTTAAGCTCAGAATAAGTCCAGGTTACACGTGTTCTGTGCATGATCTACGAATCAGTCTGGGTCAAACGTGTTCCGTGTTTAAGCCCAGAATAAATCCAGTTTACACGTGTTCTGTGCATGAGCTCCGAATGAGTCTGGCTCAAACGTGTTCTGTGTTTAAGCCCAGAATAAGTCCATGTTACACGTGTTCTGTGCATGAGCTCTAAATGAGTCGGGATCAAAAGTGTTCCATGTTAAAGCCCAGAATAAGTCCAGGTTACACGTGTTCTGTGCATGATCTCCGAATGAGTCTGGATCAAACGTGTTCTGTGTTTAAGCTCAGAATAAGTCCAGGTTACCTGTGCATGATCTCCAAATGAGTCTGGATCAAAAGTGTTCTGTGTTTAAGCTCAGAATAAGTCCAGGTTACACGTGTTCTGTGCATGAGCTCCGAATGAGTTTGGATCAAAAGTGTTCTGTGTTTAAGCTCAGAATACGTCCAGGTTACACGTATTCTGTGCATGAGCTCCGAATGAGTCTGGATCAAAAGTGTTCTGTGTTTAAGCTTAGCATAAGTCCAGGTAACACGTGTTCTGTGCATTATCTCCGAATGAGTCTGGATCAAACGTGTTCTGTGTTTAAGATCAGAATAAGTCCAGGTTACACGTGTTCTGTGCATGAACTCCGAATGAGTCTGGATCAAAACTGTTCTGTGTTAAAGCTCAGAATAAGTCCAGGTTACACGTGTTCTGTGCATGAGCTCCGAATGAGTCTGGATCAAACGTGTTCTGTGTTTAAGCCCAGAATAAGTCCATGTTACAAGTGTTCTGTGCATGAGCTCTAAATGAGTCGGGATCAAAAGTGTTCCATGTTAAAGCCCAGAATAAGTCATAGTTACACGTGTTCTGTGCATGATCTCCGAATGAGTCTGGATCAAAAGTGTTCCGTGTTTAAGCTCAGAATAAGTGCAGGTTACACGTGTTCTGTGTATGATCTCTGAATGAGTCTGGATCAAACGTGTTCTGTGTTTAAGCTGAGAATAAGTCCAGGTAACACGTGTTCTGTGCATGATCTCCGAATGAGTCTGGATCAAACGTGTTCTGTGTTTAAGCTCAGAATAAATCCAGGTTACACGTGTTCTATGCATGATCTCCGAATGAGACTGGATCAAAAGTGTTCTGTGTTTAAGCTCAGAATAAGTTCAGGTTAACCGTGTTCTGTGCATGAGCTCCGAATGAGTCTGGATCAAAAGTGTTCTGTGTTTTAGCTCAGAATAAGTCCAGGTTAACCGTGTTCTGTGCATGAGCTCCGAATGAGTCCGGATCAAAAGTGATCTGTGTTTAAGCTCAGAATAAGTCCAGGTTACACGTGTTCTGTGCATGATCTCCGAATTAGTCTGGATCAAACGTGTTCTGTGTTTAAGCTCAGAATAAGTCTAGGTTACACGTGTTCTATGCATGATCTCCGAATGAGTCTGGATCAAAAGTGTTCTGTGTTTAAGCGCAGAATAAGTCCAGGTTAACCGTGTTCTGTGCATGAGCTCCGAATGAGTCTGGGTCAAAAGTGATCTGGGTTTAAGCTCAGAATAAGTCCACGTTACACGTGTTCTGTGCATGAGCTCCGAATGAGTCTGGATCAAAAGTGTTCTGTGTTTAAGCCCAGAATAAGTGCAGGTTACACGTGTTCTATGCATGAGCTCCTAATGAGTTTGGATCAAACGTGTTCTGTGTTTAAGCTTAGAATAAGTCCAGGTTACACGTGTTCTATGCATGAGGTCCGAATGAGTGGATCAAAAGTGTTCCGTGTTTAAGCCCAGAATAAATCCAGTTTACACGTGTTCTGTGCATGAGCTCAGAATGAGTCTGGATCAAACGTGTTCTGTGTTTAAGCCCAGAATAAGTCCATGTTACACGTGTTCTGTGCATGAGCTCTAAATAAGTCGGGATCAAAAGTGTTCCATGTTAAAGCCCAGAATAAGTCCAGGTTATACGTGTTCTGTGCATGATCTCCGAATGAGTCTGGATCAAACGTGTTCTGTGTTTAAGCTCAGAATAAGTCCAGGTTACCTGTGCATGATCTCCGAATGAGTCTGGATCAAAAATGATCTGTGTTTAAGCTCAGAATAAGTCCACGTTACACGTGTTCTGTGCATGAGCTCTGAATGAGTCTGGATCAAAAGTGTTCTGTGTTTAAGCTCAGAATAAGTCCAGGTTACACGTGTTCTGTGCATGAGCTCCGAATGAGTTTGGATCAAAAGTGTCCTGTGTTTAAGCTCAGAATACGTCCAGGTTACACGTATTCTGTGCATGAGCTCCGAATGAGTCTGGATCAAAAGTGTTCTGTGTTTAAGCTCAGCATAAGTCCAGGTTACACGTGTTCTGTGCATGAGCTCCGAATGAGTCTGGATCAAACGTGTTCTGTGTTTAAGCTCAGAATAAGTCCAGGTTACATGTGTTCTGTGCATGAGCTCAAAATGAGTCTGGATCAAAAGTGTTCTGTGTTTAAGCTCAGAATAAGTCAAGGTTACACGTGTTCAGTGCATGAGCTCCGAATGAGTCTGGATCAAAAGTGTTATGTGTTTAAGCTCAGAATAAGTACAGGTTTCACGTGTTCTGTGCATGAGGTCCGAATGAGTGGATTAAAAGTGTTCTGTGTTTAAGCTCAGAATAAGTCCAGGTTACACGTGTTCTGTGCATGAACTCCGAATGAGTCTGGATCAAAAGTGTTCTGTGTTTAAGCTCAGAATAAGTCCAGGTTACTCGTGTTCTGTGCATGAGCTCCGAATGAGTTTGGATCAAAAGTGTTCTGTGTTTAACTCAGAATAAGTCCAGGTTACATGTGTTCTGTGCATGAGCTCCGAATGAGTCTGGATCAAACGTGTTTTGTGTTTGAGCTCAGAATAAGTCCAGGTTACATGTGTTCTGTGCATGAGCTCCGAATTAGTCTGGGGTAAACGTATACTGTGTATAATCTCTGTCATCTTCTCTTTCTGCTGAAATCTAGACAAAAGCATCACTCACACAGAGAAAAACACATTTTAAACCACTATGACAGCAAAGTATAAAATAAGTGAAACCTGCATATTCTGCATTTGGAACCTACATACTTAAAACAAATAAAGGATTAAAATATGTTAAGTGATCATCCTTATGCTAAAAATTGAACGACACAAATTTTATGTACTTTGCCAATTTATACAATTAATGACTTTTGTAAAGTGAGCAGTTTTGTTGAGTGTATTAAAATTCAAAATAACTTATTTTTATTTATTTTCAATATATTGTTTAACAGGTAAATACACCAATGTCTCAAAGAAGACCTTATACTGACGGCTTACCATCGATTAATGGGAAATTGTTGTTAGAATATAAAAGATATCAACGACTCTCGAAATCTCTTGGCTCTCGTTCAGTTCGAGAGAAAGTAGTTAGGGGAAAAAAACTCTCAAAGGATCAATCGGCAACAACCTTTGGTCAACCATGTTCATTTCATAGGGAATCACTGCACTTCTATTGCCATACGCATAAAGAACCAGCATGTATAATTTGTGCAACAACTATGCATAAAGTCTGTAACGTTGTAACAGTGACAGAAAATGCCGTCAAATCTCACCAAGCATGCGTCAATTTAGAAGACATCCACCAAACAGTAGAAACTGTTTTAGACAATATCGAAAAAATCAAAACAGACAGGGAAGAAAATTTAACAAAGCTGTTGTTACAAAAAAACAATATTGAAAAGGAAATGCACAGTATGCGGAAGAAAATGAATGAACACTTAGATCATATTGAAAAAGAAATAATTGGCCAACTGAATGATACGTACAGAAAGCACAAAAATGAAACGGATTATTTGTTGAAAAATATAGACCACCGAAAACAAGGCATAAAGGAACTCCAGAATACTATCATAAAGGCCAAAACTATTGAAACAGACGTCGAAGCGTTCTTGATGGGAAAACGGATCGAGCAAAAAATCAGCGAGGAAGAAAAATTCGTAGGCCATTTCTATAACGACGAATCAATAAAACAAACTGACTTTGAATTCAGACTCAGTCCGGCTATGAATTCTTTTTTTGTTGACATAAAATCGTTTGGTGATATTTTCGTACGTAAAAGTCCTAGCAGGGTTAATCTTACTCGTACCACTCACAAAGTAAAACCACCAGAAGCAGGATTTCAACTTGCTCGACATGTGAGCCACATTAAATTACGACTACACGAAAAAACATACAATGCGACTGGTATACAAGACCTACTACCATTGCCACACATCTACGATGGTTTACAGAGACAAAAGACGATGTAGTTCAAAGATAATTATCTGACATTTAGTGTACTTTTTCTATTGTTTTCATGAGAAAATTTGTTTTAGAAACCAATGCATTCGTTTTTAACACTTTATTTTTAATCAACTCGTAAATATCCGACTCAAAGTAAGAGGTGACATGGCAATATTTTGGATTTTACAAAAACTTTGCATGCAACTAGAACATTTGGAACTTCTATTTTAATGTTGATTTAAATTTGACTTTTTTAAGATTTTTTTTTTTTACAAAACCTTTTAAATTGAGATTAAGAAATAGTATAGTTGTTAATGATACAACTATTCGTTGAATATCAAAGGTCAAAGGACAAAGATGTGAACAATAACAGGTCATCGTTACGAATTTCAACCTAAAGCAAACGCATGTCGTATAGTTAGCTATAAAAGGCCCCGAGAAGACAATTCAAAAGAGAAAACCAAAGCCCTGATAATACTACACCAATAAACGATAAACTGTTAGGGCAGACAGACAACAACCAACGATAAACACTGGATAACAAACGCCTGGCCGAAAATGAATTATCAAGATTTAAAAACGTAATAGTTGTCAAAACACTTAAGTAAATTACCCTTCAAATCGAGATTTTTCTAAAAACCTGTACTACGAATTTCTATAATAATTTTGCTGTTGCTACCGACATGTCTGCCTTTATTGATGGAAAATTTGATGAGAACTACAGACAATTCTTGATTGAGTCAGTAGAATGAGTGTGTGCGTGCCCAAACATTTACACTTGCTCCAGATTATCTCTAGATAATACTGTTCGGTCATCAGTGAACGAAAGAACTATTTCTCTTTCCTTTTCATATGACATTACTTGAAAAACCCAAAGCCTCATATATCTTGTAACATTAACAAAACCGAAATGTAGTATTCAATATGTAGGGCAAACTGGACGTGAATTTTTCAAACGAGCACAAGAACATCTACATCGCTTCCGCAGACTTAAGAAATTCAAAAGTTTAATTTACCAGCATTTAGAAAAACACAAACACAATATCAAAATTATAAAATTCCAATCATTTCAAACCGTCCAGAAACAACCAGGACAATCACATATACAGTTTGAAGATTCCCGTAAACTTTGCGAACTTTCTTGGATTAAACGACTACAGACAGTGTATCCCCTAGGTCTAAATGACAATATCATGGGCCAAGGGAACATATCTAAAACTTCCTCTATTGATATCATGACTATTGTTGATAAAAGACAATGCAATAATAGGTCTCATGGCAATCGCATTAACGGTAATCAACGAAATAAACATCGTTTTAATTTTACACTTGATGATTTTTTATCTATATTTAAAAACAATGGTCGACATCAATCATTATGCAAACTGGGTCAATTCCCAGTTAGTAAATTACATAATATTTATAACGAGTGTGATACAGTATCGTTTTTCAGTCCAAAATATGAGTGTACACGAATTATTACGGCCTTTTGTCACCATAGACTGTTCCCTCAAATTGACAAACCTGAAGATCATAAAAGTATTTCATAAACATAAAATACATTAATAGAATATTGATTTGATTAATTTGTCTAGTATTTTTCATGACTCTACCGTTCAAAACTTTATACCTCCATATTTTGATAACATAGAGCCACCTATAATTTCTTATTCGTATAAAAAAGGCCAGTAGAAGTTTAATTTTTAATTATACGTCAGCTACATCAGACGTCAGTTAAGAAAATAATACTTCGACACGAGACTGTGAAACATCAAAGTTTATATATGATCCCTATGGCCATGTAATTACAGGGAACTTCAATATCGTTTAAGACCGAAAGGTTAAAAACTTTCCGAAAAAGGACCAAAATATCGTCTCCCGTTGCAAATAAATTGGGAAGAGTGTCGTCAGGTTATTAAAGATGCTCTTCGGTTGTTGGCATGACACGGGTTATGTTCTTCTCATATATGTTATGATGGTATGATACTAAACCCCTAACGGGAAGGATTGTGCCTGATATTCATATGATGAAGACATAATCTTTCAATCAGTTTAATTGAAGTCTGGAGCTGGCATGTCAGTTAACTGCTAGTAGTCTGTTGTTATTTATGTATTATTGTCATTTTGTTTATTTTCTTTGGTTACATCTCCTGACATCAGACTCGGACTTCTCTTGAACTGAATTTTAATGTGCGTATTGTTATGCGTTTACTTTTCTACATTGGCTAGAGGTATAGGGGAGGGTTGAGATCTCATAAACATGTTTAACCCCGCCGCATTTTTGCGCCTGTCCCAAGTCAGGAGCCTCTAGCCTTTGTTAGTCTTGTATTATTTTTAATTTTAGTTTCTTGTGTACAATTTGGAGTTTAGTATGGCGTTCATTATCACTGAACTAGTATATATATTTGTTTAAGGGCCAGCTGAAGGACGCCTCCGGGTGCGGGAATTTCTCGCTGCATTGAAGACCTGTTGGTGACCTTCTGCTGTTGTCTGTTCTATGGTCGGGTTGTTGTCTCTTTGACACATTCCCCATTTCCATTCTCAATTTTATCTTTCATACTATTGTAAAAAATGGTGTAAACGGGAGAAATCTGACAAAAAGTCACTTGAGTCCTATTTGAATAAATGTCTGAATGTTGTTGGTATTCGCAATTCACATTTCGAAATTAATTTAGAAATAAATAAAAGAATAAATAATACGCCCATTTCTAGGATTAAAACCAAAATTCAAGTACTCGCAAAGCGTTTTGTGTTTGTACCAGCCGACCAAGCAGCCAACAATGTGGTGGTGGTATGACGTAAATACTACACGGAAGTCCTTAAGAATGAAATTATACATTCAACTATATTCAAGGCCATACGCTCCACAGAGAGACATATAGTAAATAATCATGTCACAACCACAGCTCAGCTTAAGGCCTCTTCTGAATATTTGAAAGTCACCACTATATGTATTGATTACCTAAACTGCACTAAAAAAACATAAAATATCGTTTCATTTTGGCTGTACCTGTTAACAAAAATGATTTTAGACGGAATAGCACATCCTAAATTTTACGGTGATGTTGTTACCGAGCACGGAAATTTATATACGATCCGGGTAAACTTATCAATCCTTTAAATAAATTTATTCTAATAGGTTACCAATTCAACACTGTAATTAGATCTTTGAATATTGTTTTATTGGTATAAATATTGAATTTGTTATCAGTAAATTAAAATCATACTAAATAGTTTTGTTATACACATATGCACTTTAACGGTACTACTATCTGTCGATACCTTTATTTTGACATTGCACAATGTCATGTTTTTCTCTGACTGTTAATGACGTCTTTACACTAATAAAATTGAGAATGGAAATGGGGAATATGTCAAAGAGACAACAACCCGACCAAAGAGCAGATAACAGCCGAAGGCCACCATTGGGTCTTCAACGCATCGAGGAAATCCTGCAACCGGAGGTGGTACTCAGCTGGCCCCTAAATAAAATTATGTACTGGTTCAGTGAAAATGGACGTCACACTAAACTCCAAAACATATAAAGGAATTAAATTAAAAAAAACAAACAAGACTAACCAAGGCCAGAGGCTCCTGACTTGGGACAGGCGCAAGAATGCGGCGGGGTTTAACAAGTTTTGTGAGATCTCCCCCCTCCCCCCTATACCTCTAGCCAATGTATGGATAAAGAAACACATAGCAATACGCACAGTAAAACTCAGTTTAAAAGAAGTCCGAGTCCGATGTCAGAATAGGTAACAAAAGAAACTAAGCAAAATGACAATGATACATAAATTAACAAAGGACTACTAGCAGTTACTGACATGCAAGCTCCAGACCTCAATTAAACTGATTGAAAGATTATGTCTTCATCATATGAAAATCAGGTACAATCCCTCCCGTTAGGGGTTTAGTATCATACCATCATAAAAAATATGAGAAGAACATAACCCGTATCATGCCAACAACTGGTTTTAGAATGAATATGTTTATTTCCGATACAAAGACCATATGAGTGAATCAATATTAATACCAAAATATGCAATCCTTAATGACCTGACAACAGTATCGTAACTATATCCCTTCCGAATAAGTCTGTTTAAAGGTTTGGTTAGCTTTTGAGGTGAATGCCGTCATTTTTGTGCTTTGTAAAGAATATTACCATAAAATATTGGATGTGAAATACCTGAACGTATAAGATGTCTACATGTTGATTTATATTTACGAATGATGTCCATGTACCGATGATAAAATTTAGTAAATGTTTTGACTAGTTTGTGATATCGAAAACCCTGGTGTAATAATTTCTCAGTAATACAGAGATTTCTTTCGTTGAAATCAAATACATTGTTGCATATACGAGCGAATCGAACAAGTTGAGATATATAAACACCATTAGATGGTGACAAGGGAACCTCACCATCTTAAAATGGATAATTAACAATAGGAAATGAAAAATCATCTCTTTTATCATGAATTTTGGTATTAAGCTTCCCGTTAAAGATATAAATATCAAGATCCAGGAAAGGACAGTGTTCATTGTTAGTATTAGCTTTATTTGAAGTCAGTTCGGCAGGATAAATCTCTTTAGTGTACATACTGAAGTCGTCATTATTAAGAGCCAATATATCATCTAAATATCTAAAAATGTTTTTAAATTTTTGAATCGTATGTTGTTTCGATGGATCTTTACCGATTTTAGTCATAAATTGTAACTCATAACAATACAGAAACAGGTCCGCAATAAGTGGTGCACAGTGAGTTCCTATGGGAATTCCGATAACCTGACGATATACGGAATCTCCATAGCGAACAAAAATGTTATCTTGGAAAAATTCAAAGGCAGTTATTGTATCAAAGCAGGTCCAATTGACATAGTTCTTTTGTTTGTTGTTACTAAAAAATGACCTAAAAGAGTTCGAACATATATATTCGCATTCCGACTTTTTAAATGCCCATTTAATCAGGTGTGTGAATTTTGTTAGAAAAGTCAAAACTTTGAACAGATTCAAAATCACAAATATAAGCATGCAATTTATCAAGTACTTCCAACGAATTTTTGACACTCTTCGCCTCAGTTGACAATGTTTTCTCGGGGTAACAATCTGCTCTATCACCCTCTCAGCTATGTGTTATTTATATAATGTCTACCGTTGTTTTTTTAAATAGAAATTAGGTCCGAAATATTTGTATTGTTATTACGAAATTTTCTTTGATTGCGATTTATTCTACGCCCATGAGAACGGTGTTTACGAACTGTTTTAGAAACTATATCCAAAATGTTAACAGAATCTGTTCTAGATATATTACCAATTCTCATGATATTGTCATTAAGACCGAGAGGATAGACTGTCTGTAATTTTTTAATCCAATTTAATTCAATTATTTTTCTTGATCGTACAAATTTTGAATGAGATTCCCCAGGCTGCTTATTAACAACTTCTAAAGGTTGAACTGTTAAATATTTAATAGGATGATTGTGCTTCTTAAGGTGTTGATAAATGATACTTTTGAATTTATGAGGCTTGTATAGGGTATATTTGGATACAGGATATTTGCCATTTTAATTTTAGGGATATGGGATATTTGTTCTAAAAATAAATGGGATATGGGATATTGATGCATTTTTAAGGATATTGAATTTTGAACATGAAAAAAAAATGTTGAATTTAAAAGTTAAGAACAGAAATATTTACATCTCGCTTGATACAATTGCCAAAAATAATTTACTAGAAAAAGTCATTTTAGTGCTTTGTTGATTTTCATGTATTAACGAATGTTGTATACGAAAATGGGTTTGGGAAAAAAAATGAGAATGGAAATGGGGAATTTGTCAAAGAGACAACAACCGGACCAAAGGACAGAAGACCGCCGAAGGCCACCATTGGGTCTTCAGCACAGCGAGAAAATCCCGCACCCGGAGGCGGGCTTCAGCTGGCCCCTGAACAAAATGTGTACTAGTTAAGTGAAAATGGACGTCACACTAAACTCAAAAACATATAAATGAACTAAAATTTAAAAAAAACATACAAGACTAACAAAGACCAGAGACAGGAGCAAAAATGCGGCGGTGTTAGACATGTTTTTTTGAGAACTCAATCCTCCCCTATACCTCTAGCCAATGTAGAATAAACAATCACACAGCAATACACACAGTGAAACTCAGGTCAAAAGAAGTCCGAGTCCGATGTCAGAATAGGTAACAAAAGAAACGCAAAATGACAATCATACATAAATTAACAAATAATTACTAGCAGTTACTGACATGCCAGCTCTATACCTCAATTAAACTGATTAAAGATTATGTCTTCATCATATTTCAAATCAAGCACAATCCCTCCCGTTAGGGGTTTAGTATCATACCATCATAAAATATACGAGAAGAACATAACCCGTATAATGCCAACAACTGGTTTTAGAATAAATGTGTTTATTTCCGATGCAAAGACCATATGAGTGAATCAATATTAACATCAAAATATGCCATCTTTAATGACCTGACAACAGTATCGTAACTATATCCCTTCTGAATAAGTCTGTTTAAAGGTTAGGTTAGCTTTTGAAGTGAATGCCGTCATTTTTGTGCTTTGTATAGATTATTACCATAAAAGATTGGATGTGAAATACCTGAACGTATAAGATGTCTGTATGTTGATTTATATTTACGAATGATGTCCTTGTACTGATGATAAAATTTAGTAAATGTTTTGACTAGTTTCTGATATCGAAAACCCTGGTGTAATAATTTCTCAGTAATACAGAGATTTCTTTCGTTAAAATCAAATACATTGTTACATACACGAGCGAATCGAACAAGTTGAGATGCATAAACACCATAAAATGGTGACAAGGGAACCTCACCATCTAAAAATGGATAATTAACAATAGGAAATGAAAAATCATCTCTTTTATCATGAATTTTGGTATTAAGCTCCCCGTTAAAGATATAGATATCAAGATCCAGGAAAGGACAGTGTTCATTGTTAGTATCAGCTTTATTTAAAGTCAGTTCGGCAGGATAAATCTCTTTAGTGTACATACTGAAGTCGTCATTATTGAGAGCCAATATATCATCCAAATATCTAAAAGTGTTATTAAATTTTTGTATCAGATGTTGTTTCGATGGGTCTTTGCTGATTTTAGTCATAAATTGTATTTCATAACAATATAGAAACAGGTCCGCAATAAGTGGTGCACAGTGAGTTCCCATTGGAATTCCGATAACTTGACAATACACGGAATCTCCATAGCGAACAGAAATGTTATCTAATAAAAATTCAAGGGCAGTTATCGTATCAAAAGCAGGTACAATTGACATAGTTCTTTTGTTTGTTGTTACTAAAAAATGACCTTAAAAAGTTCTGACTTTTTGAATGCCTGTGTGATTTTTTTTCTGAATAAGATTATGAAGCAAAGTGGTAAAATGAAAACTTTAAACAGATTCGAAATCACCAATATGAGCATGCAATTTATCAAGTACTTCCAACAAATTTTGGACACTCCAAAAGTACTAATTCCACTAAAGCCTTATTTGAACAATTTATTACGTCGAATTAATTAATGATTTTTGAGGATATTTCAAAATGGTTTAAGGGATACGGGATATTTGTAAAAAAAATTTTTTGGGATATTTGGGGTAAACATTATAGGAATATGGGATATTGGGACAAAAACTTAATGGGATATGGGATATTGATACCCTCCCTAAACAACCCTCATTTATGGGGTCTTTTAAAACGATAAAGGTGTTCTTGCGTGCGTTTAGATAAATATCGTCCTACGTACTGAATATCGCATCCCGGTTTATTTCATGTGAGTAAATATATAATACTGTTAGTTTTTCAAGTGATACCAGTTTCAAAATTTAAGGAAAATGTGCGACCATTAAACGTGGACCTTACCGTATTGTTGGTGGAAAGACGGGGACATGTAAGTCATTTTTTGGCATGACACTTATAGATAGAAGGGTAACCACGATTTTTGTTGTGAAAAATGTTAGCGATTGTAGTATTTTTAGATAATCGATTTTATAGATTGAGACGTGTAGATACCCTTTGAACGAGTTTAGAATTAAGTATTTTTCCATTTCGAAGCTGTCAGTACTGCGATTACTCTCAGATCTGTACTTTGTGTACTTTTTGTTGTGAGGGATGAGGGATGAATAAATACCCTGCCACGTCCGGTCTGTGTTTATATTTGATTTTTTTTGTTGCTTTGAATCGATAGTTTGTTCTTATGTTGTGCTGTTACACCACTTTCCCAGGTTAGGGGGTAGGGGTGTTGGGCGTTCACAAACATGTTTAACCTCGCCACATTCTTTATGTGTCTGTCCCAAGTAAGGAGCCTGTAGTTCAGTGGTTATCGTTGGTTGACGTCTGTCATGTTTGTTTTTCGTAAATTGTTTTGTTATAAATTAGGCCGTTTAGTTTTCTCAATTGAATTGTTTCATATTTTTCATGTCGGGGACTTTTATAGCCGACTATCCAGTATGGGTTTTTCTCATTGTTGAAGGGCGTACGGTTGCCTATAAATGCTTACATCAACTTTATTTGAACTTCAGTGGATAGTTGTCTCATTGGCAACCATACCACACTCCTTATTTTTATATTAGCAAATAATGTCTCTGATAATGTTAAAGTTTATTTACTTGCATAACAGCTAAGATCAATAACAAATAAAATGATGTTATAAATAGTAAAAATCAAATTTACAATCGATTATGTATGGTAGCAATCGTTCTCTGGTTATACGGAGCGTTTTAAACAATTACTTCTGTAAAGCCGCGCCCTGTCGCCTTGAACGTGCACGTGCTTCATGGTTGGATTTTTATTCTATAGTTTTCGTCTAGTGCCGAACAAGGTTCCAAATTACATTTTAAGAGCACATGAATTCGTCCCTATGTTTTCATTATTTTTTTGTACATTGTTCCAGCTTGATTCTTGATTTATTTATATTAATATGTTCCTGCCACATACATCCTTATATTCACTATACGATCTTTTGTTTGTACACGATCGATATCGTTAAAACAGCTACTATGCTGTGTCTTATTAAAAAAAGATATGTAGGATGTACGTCAAGGAGACAGCAACCAAACGACACAAATAACAATATGACTTCTAGAAAGAACATATAAAGTTATTTCTAACGATACTGCTATCATACGTTGAATTCAGTTTCAACATCACTTATGGTAATCCGAGGTAAATGTTTTAAAGGAATGTCTTCTTTCTTCCTAGGATGATCATTGTCATCTATCAGGTTGTTTAGTATTGATATATTATGCAGCGAATGAGCAGCTGATATAACTTGTCTTTTGGTTTTTGATGAAAATGGAGCTAGATTTGGTACTGATGCTGCCAGAAGTCCATTCTTTGTGTATACATACTCATCACTGGATTCCTCTGTTCCTACTGCAATACAATTTTGTCACAAAATATAATTACATACATTCAAACAGGTTAATATTGCAATGCCAATTTACGAAAGTGAAATTAAACTCGATTTGATCAAATTGGTTTAAATGCCGTAAGGGTGAACAATATAAGCAGAAATTATCTTCCATATATATCGGATGCATTTTTCAATTGGGGTTAATGTTTGTAAGGCAATCCTGGTGTCGTTAAATCAAATGTCATTTTTTCTCGTTTACAATAGTTGTTGGTGACTTTCTGTGGGATTTTATTATAGTTTGCACCAAAAACTGGTTGACCGGTCTACCCGGCTATTTAGACTACCCAAAATAATGACCGACACGACCAGCAGAATACCCCAAGAGCACTTAGTTTATCATTTGTATAACTCATTCTAAAGATTTTTGTGATCTGGTGGCATTGATTGGAAACCTGTTTCAGTATTACAACGGACATTTGATTAGACTCCAATTTGTTGTGCATGGGTTAATTACCTGACGATTTCGAAAGTCAAAAATTGGAGTTTTGAATGAGAATAATTTCGAGAATGTGGTGCGTGTATTTTTGAAGAGCTACAATAAAGCCAATGTTGAAGTAAAAATAAAAACCTCTCGATTTCATTTTGAATCATAGGCGGATCCAGGGGGGGGGGGCCCTGGGGGGCCCGGCCCCCCCCTCCCCCTTTCGTGGGAAAAATTTGGTTGATTATATAGGGAATCACTGAAGCATGACTGGAGCGGGCCCCCCTTAGGTCAGTCAGCCCCCCCCCCCCCCTTATGAAAAGTTCTGGATCCGCCACTGTGAATTACTTTATTTCGAAACGGTACTAAGACTTGAACTAAATAATTGTTGTGAGGGGGCACAAATCCAGTTGGGCATAGATAGAAAGTTAAATAATTCTTTTGAAATAGAATCCTATTTGAAGGGTGAACATGCCCATAATGTATTGAAGTGCGTTTACCAAATTTAAATGCAGATTAATCCCTATCTGTATTGAGATCGAATATGAGACATAATGAGTAAAAGTATTCGTCCTGCATTCAGCAAACTATTGTACAATTCACAGATATACATATAAATTGATGCTTTTTTCGTACTTATACAGATAAAGTATCCTGTAAGAAAATATTAAAAATGCAAACCATTAGTCAAGAAAGAGAGACAACATCATAGCCATTAAGAATATGCAAAAAGAAAAACAGCAGTCCACAAAACGCTAGGCATAAAACGTAATGTTAAACAAAACGAACCCCACAGAAACAAGGGTTGACTCGGGTGCTCTAGATGTTTGTTATATGTTCCTTCTCCATTAAAATCATATGTCATGTACACATTCGCTGATAAAAAAAAAGGAAGACGGGATTTTTTTCCCCGACAAATGAAACATATTCGTGTTCATTTGTGAAACACAAATTCCATAACTGTCAACACAATCATTATGGCGCTAAATGATTTTTCAAAGAGATTATTAACCCATAAATCAAAACCTTTTTTGTGAACAGTATTCCGCTACTAAGAAAATCGGGATATTCAATGAAACTATAAGCAATTGACATCATGTTTGACACCTAATTACTAGTAACATAAAATATGCTTTTTTTAACCGACAAAATTATATCTTTTAATTAAATTTCTGGCTTGCAACACCATCCTTCAATAGTCCAAGTATGTGCTTTTATATTTATTTTTAGAAGGCCTTTCAGTCATCCATCTTCGCTAGCCAAGGGTTACGATCCACTTCCCTCCTCTCCACCCTTGGCAGATTAAGCCAACATTTGTGATAACAATGTTGCGCCATCTATCGGTAGATTAAAGTCTAGCCTGGCATCCTGACCCAATCTAATACTTCGTCGTGCAGTGAGTCAGGATCCCAGGCTAATTAAAGTCACGCTCATTCCGAATACATTATTCTTGACCAATGGTAGCACTTGAACTCTTCAATTTGGAGGTAAAAACACGGTAGCGTCTAGATTCTACACACTTGGTAAAGCAGGAAACGAAAATATACGTTGACATTCATGCATTTGTGCAAGAAACATACACAGGAACTTCTATTGATTGATTAAAAACATTCAAATTGTCACTAAATATAGTCGTATGTTTAGGGATGTAAAGACTTGTTGCACAATAAGCACGTGCCAATTGTTTACATACACTTTCTACATTTACACGTGATCATGTTATAGGCGCTTTTTGATTGGATGCAGCGAGTTTCGACTGCAACCAATGAAATTCATTACCTTGTGTCTCCGAAATTCTATCTTAATCCGCCAAGGGTGGAGAGGAGGGAAGTGGATCGTAACCCTTGGCTAGCGAAGATGTCAGTCATCTAACAACTTAAAGTTCAAAATATTTAGCTCTTTGGTTTCCCAAAAAAAATAGCAATTTGAACCAAAGACTGCCTCTGGCATAACCACGTTTTCTCTTGAACCAAATTAAGATAATTTGTAAAAATAAGATAATTGGACTGTTGGAAGAAGATGATAATGTAAAATGTTTACGGACGATGGACGCCAATTGAAACATTGCAATTACTTAGTCTTTTGAATTTGTATAAAAGACTAAAAAAAACATAGTACGGAATTTGTAGCTATGATCTTCATCTGTATTTCATGCAAATATAAGCATAAAAAAATTAAGCTTTAACCTATATAATTGAAATGATCCTAAATAAGATCTGAGTAACTTACCTGATTTATTAGCCGTATAACATTTACTTGTCCTGTCAGACTTCTCATTTCCCCGAGTCATCACCCGCTCCCTTGTGTTTAACCTTGGTTTAAATATGATGATGTATAACCTTGATAGAAATAGTACACACAGACTTACTGTTGAGTTTATAGAAAGTGTTATACATAGAGACAGAACACGTACTATATTATTGTTGGTGAAAAAGAATGTTGAGGCAAACGCTAACCAAACAATACAAGTTGTATATGAACATATTGCAATGAATCGTGTCTCTTTGAAACCATCCGGAATCTTTCGGGTTTTTACAGCAAAAATTACACATGCTATCAACAGCGCTACTGAGTACGATAAACTGATAGCATACGAGTAGTTATCTGCATCATCACATATTAAAACGCCACTGTCTTCGTCATAATCGATTCTTATGTCCGGTCTATCAAAAATAATCCAAACCGTCAGTCCTAAAACGTGAAAAAACGTAATCAATAATGTCAAAGTTATAGATGATCTTGAATTTATGAACTTCTTTTTTTCGAGACTCTTTGCCTGAAACAGTCTATAAATTCTTATTGTCTTGGTCAACAGAGTGGCATACTGCAGTGTGTAACACAATCCAAGAAGATATCGGATAAGACCACACGAAATAGGTGATGGTTCAGCAAGAAAGGCAGCTGATGATCCATACGATAATATCAGACTAAAAACCAAAAGAAGGCTGAGTTTAAGGTCCGTTGCCTTAACTAATGGCGTTTCTCTGTTTATCGTGAATACCACTATGACTACGATACATACAGCAATACCAATAGAAGATAACGTAAGAGTCCCAATGGCAGCTGGGTCATTGAAACTCATATAGTCAATGTGAATTGGCGTACAGTTACTTTTATTATTATTCGGATGAGAACCAACAGGACATGGCATGCATCCAAAATCGCCAGAATACTGATTTCCGGAACATTTGGTACATTGCCAGCAACAACGGTCCTCTGATATTGTTTTTGCGTATCCGAAAGGACAAGAAAGTGAACACACTGAAGGTCCCCTGTATTTATCGTCTCTGTACTTTTTATTAAGGAAAATTTCTTCTGTGCCACCAGCTTCTGTAATTAGAATCATTGTCATGTTATGCGAGCATACCACTCCTTATATATCAAAATCTCTCTCTCTCTCTCTCTTTGAATATATACTTGCTGTCTGTACAAATGCAGTATTAAATGTGTTTTGGCGGTTGTGTATGTGTTAACAAGTTCTTGTTCTGTGTGGCTGCAAGTAATTGTTTACTTTAATGCGTTTACTATCTGAGCATTGACCATAACTTTAACTGACTTAATGTTCTTGCTAATGTCTTAAATCTATGCATATATATACCTGCTGCATGTAACATTTTTGGCATAAAATTGTAAAGGTAGACAGAAACCTAAATTCATGAAAAAATATATTGTAGAGTTGTTACAAGCAAAGGGCTTTATATAAAACAAAATTTTGGGCACAACAATGCCAAATAAAACATGTAAAAAAAGAACAGAAGATAAAGGACAATAGATAGGTGTCAGTGAATTGTCATTCAAAGTACTTTCTGACCGTTTTCATACACAAGTCATACATTTTTTAAATCAGTGCTCCTGATGAATAGGTATTCAATCGTTCCAACCTTCTCTTTGATAGTAAATATAAATAAGAAGATGTTGTATGAGTGCCAATGAGACAACTCTCCATCCAAGTCACAATGTATAAAAAGTTAACAATAGGTCAAAGTACGGCCTACAATACGGAGCCTTAGCTCACACCGAACAGCAAGCTATAAAGGGCTCCAAAATGACTAGTGTAAAACAATTCAAACAGGAAAAACCAACGGTCTAATCTATATAAAAAACGAGAAACGAGAAACACCTATGAACCACACCAACAAACGACAACCACTGAACAACAGGCTCCTGACTTAGGACAGGTGCATAACAGCGGGTTTAAACGTTTTAACAGGTGCCAACCTTCACCCTTACCTGATACAGTAGTGTAACATTACAACATAAAAAACACACTATAAAATGTCAATTGAAATGGCTTAACTCGATCAAAATGACATTAAAACAAAAAACAAGGTAACACACACTAAACGAATAAGTTTGAGCTATGACACAATATAAATACAATATTAAAACGTAGGTGCCTATATAACATAGACGTTACAGGTAGTAATAAAAAAAGAAGAATAAGAGCGTCATTAAGCCAACTCTTACCTGGGACAAAATGGCGTTAAATAGGTAAATTTAAATATAATTATTTTGTTATTAGGAGTACGGAAATTTTTTAAAAAATAATAATATATCTGATTACACTGTTCTTGCTTAATAAAAATAATATTTCACTAGCAATGGCTGGGTTGATATTTTTCATCTGTTGATCGAGTTGAAGAGATGAACTCAAGTTGCATCTTGCAAAGATAATTTGCCCAAGTCAGAAGTGGTATTGTGAAAGGACAAAACTTTTTGAATAAGCACAGTAATATCGCTTTGAACATTTTTGGCATATAATTGTAAAGGTAGACAGAGAAACTTAAATTCATGAAAAAATAGATTGTAGAGTTAGTTACAAGTAAAGAGCTTTATATAAAACAAAATTTTTGGCACAACAATGTCAAATAAAACATGTAAAAAAAGAGCAGAAGATAACCGACAAAACAATGACAAAACAACGAAATGACCAACAACAGTCTACTATAAACGCTACTTAGAAAGCTAAAGACTGAGTAAAAAATCCCATAAAAAACCGGAGTGATCTCAAGTGCTTTGGAAAGGTAAGCAGATCCTGCTCCATAAGTGGCACGGGAATAATTCTCATTCGAAGATGTCACGATCGAGGAAAAGAGGACTGGATTCTCGCAACGACAGTTTGATTATATCCGTGGTCATCTTGGAAACAGATATTCCATAGCGGTCAACAAACCCATGATGTTCTTCCGTAAAACTTTCAAAGGTATTACTTCAACTGTACTACCATGAACCCTTTGTTATACAGCTTCCTTAGTGTAAATACAAGTAAGTAAATGGGCGGACAACAGTTCATCGTAATACGTCGTTTATTTTACTGGTGGTTACATTTCATGACATATGATTATAAGACTGAACTTACGTGAAAAGTTTCCTATTATTTCCCACTGTTCCTTCTCATTGTACCTCAAAATGCTGTAACGGGCTGGTCCCTCGGAACTATTTACAAATTGAAATATCCCTCCTTGATTATCTGAAAACAAAGCACACAAGTTATCATAGCACTTTATTATTTTCGATTTCAGCAAACCTGCACATTTTATCCTAAAATTTAATGAAATGCAAATATGTATGCGTCAATGAAAACCAAACGACACATAAAAACAGAAGGGTCAATATACAGTCTGCAATAAAACACAGGTGTCTATTCAATATGTCTATATATAAATCGCCAGCGCCATGTTTTAGAAAATGGTGAATAAAGTCAAAGAAACAAAATTTAAATCGATTTCCCATGAAGACAAACAAATTGAGATACAGACACCTCGCTGTTTGCAAGTTGTAGTTATAGCCATATCAAATAGTATCAATCTTATGTATGAAAATGGATCTTTGTTACAAGATCTATATTGTCGTTCTTTGAATCGTTGCTTAGTAAACACCTAGAAGTTCCGTTTAAATCCGTCCGCATAAACTGTCAGAAGGAACGTAAAAAGGCGTTCTGACAAGCCGAATGGTCATACATAAATGAAAAAAAGCAAATTATTTAGGTAGGTAAAATAAAAAAATGAAAGACAACATGGGGATATAACCTTTAATTGATGATTAAACATATATATCGTAATTTTGCGAGGATCGATAAGGGACAAGGATCCTTTAGTTTAATGGTATATCTTTGCATGCCAAAACTCTTTACATTCTTTTACTTTGTTGCATAATTTCTTTAATGTTAAAAGCATTAAACGACGTCTTCTATTATCTAGCTTTAACCATCAAACACACCTTTAAAAGACACGTTGCCAAGGAATTCTAGCAGCTGAGTTCCACCACGAAGAGCCGTCTTTAAACTGTTGCACAAACCATCTGCTTTATCACAATAAGCTTCGTGCATTCCTCTAATAGCATATGCAAATGTTTTTACAGCATCATTGATATAGTGAAGAATTCCAAACTCTTCAACATCTACAATAGAATTACTACAGCAATTTAATCCAGCTAAACCCGAGTTACCATTAAGGATTGATTGATTTACAGTTTTTTGCTTTGAGTCCAGTGACGAATATATTTTGTAAATTCAGGACGAGAACAAATTTAAGATAAATACAATAGGTTTTATAAAGTTGGACGACCGAGAATTTTGCAAAAGTCCACCTACAGACCGCTCAAGTTGTTGCAATGGTTCTTTAACGTGCATAAGCGTGGCGCTCTCCCTACACAAGACATCGAGTTTTCCTTTTCTGACCGGACGTATAGCTATACTGACGCCCCTCTTTAGCGTTCTTTTACTGTCGTATGGGAGAAGTAAGCAACATAAACAATGAACATTAACATGAGATAATTTAATGAACATAAAAATCATCCAACTTTATATCTAATAGAGTATGTCACTTAATCAAAATTCTTAAAGAAAAAGGGAGACAATACCAAGGCAGCCATTGAAAGCAGCAGTCGAAAAAAACAATGACCAAAAGCAAACTGTCCACATACAAACAGATGTCCACAAAATAATACACAGAAAACTACAAATTGAGCCACACGAGCTACATCAACGGGGGGTGAACTCAGCGCTCATTATTCATAGCACTCTCTTTCAATGGTTAAATTGTGATATCTTTTTTAAGCATTTGCAAGATCGTGATCTCAAAAAAAATATTCATACACTTGTTTGTTTATTCAATCTTTCTTAAATATGATCAAAGGAAATCTTCAAAATACATATGTCGTATTTATATACAGAATGAACGTATATGCGAAATTTCTCCCAAATTATCCTTATATCCCCATATCCCTAACATCAGTTAACATTATTTTTGTAAAATAGATAGTTTGTTGTTAAGTAAATTCCGTTTTGATGATTTTAAATATGTTCATCGAGTTTTTGTGTTTTATTTATATGATATATGTAGTTCATTGTGGAGTTCTTAAAATAAGCGTAAATGTTGTAAAGCTGTAAAACTTATTATTCCAACGTTTTTCGTTGTGAAAATAGTATAGTAAAATGGTTAATACTTTAAAACCGATCATACAAATATCTGAAACCAATTAATTACAACGATTATTTATGAAGCAAACGTATTACTTTATAAAGAAAAAATCTTTAGATTGGCTTTGAAACTATTTCCTTTTGCAAATTTAAATGTATATTCATAATTCTTTCAACAGTATTTCAGAAAATAAGGAAAACTATACTGATCAGACCTTACATATTGATTACCCCGCCACTTCTCATGAGTTCAAGCTAATGCACGGTTCATGTTGTGATACGTAAAACCTCTAAAATCATTTGGATACAGAAAAAGAACATAGTTGAAAAATATTGCATTAAGTCAGAAAGACAGGGAATTTTTAGAGGTGTGGCTATATACATTGTGTATAGATAAAACGGAAAAGCCAAACACCAGTCCAAAAATAAGATAAGATGTGCTTTATGGTATAGTGTACTTAAGATCCTTTGAAAAACCCATTGAAACCCAGTCTCTGGTTAGGCATGATTAATAAAGTGTTAAACTGATGAAACTACATATTGTTTTGTTGCTTGTTCTACAAAATTGTAATTTCTTTTGTATTTTATCCCTGTCAAATTTCTAATTTAGGAACAGTGCTAGCCTTTTTTATGGTGGCTTAGGTGATCAACCACAATTCTTAAAGGGAAATATCTTTTAACAGACATTTGGTTGCAATTGATTCATCTGTATAACTTGTTTGATTTTAACATTCTGATCCATTCTGATATCCACTGTGTACCATCACACCGGATATAGTTACCCTTGACCTGGTTCTCTGTTCATTGTCTAAGAAAAACTACATTACTGTTCATATACCAACATATAGGTACCCAGGTAGCTAGCTCTACGCTGGTATTTGTACAGTAACAGTAACGTTGTTTTTCTTAGACAATGAACAGAGAACCAGGCCAAGGGTACCTATATCCGGTGGTGATGATCCACAGTAATATCGGTGACTGTATTACAGGAGGTTCTATACAGCAACGTCATAAACACTGTAGATATCTTTATTTAAAAATGCATTTTCACACTTGGAGGTCAGTAGTTGAGATCCTCATTTTATATTTTGAAAATGTTTGTGTAAACATTACAAATTAGATATTTTTGCTAATTTTTGTCTAAATTTTAAGATCACAGATAATTTTATTGGTACATTACATCAAAAAAATATATTTGCTAATTTAACTTTTATAACTTAACTTTTCTCGTCCAGTCCTGAAATGTTACCTTCTTTGAGGGGGCATTTTTTTTTTGTTGTTGTGTGTATTGAAACAAAGCCTCGTCAGGTCCAAATGGAGACGTCAAATTGTATGCCCTACGTCAGAATAGGGACGTCAAAATCTATACACTAGGTCCGAATGGGGACGTTAAATTCTATGCCCTTCGTCAAAATAGGGACGTTAAATTATATGCCCTACGTCAGAATAGGACGTTAAGTTATATGTCCTACGTCAGAATAGGGACGTTAAATTCTATGCCCTACGTCAGAATAGGGACGTCAAATTCTATACACTAGGTCCGAATGGGGACGTTAAATTCTGTGCCCTTCGTCAAAATAGGGACGTTAAATTATATGCCCTACGTCAGAATAGGGACGTCAAATTCTATACACTAGGTCCGAATGGGGACGTTAAATTCTTTGCCCTACGGCAGAATAGGGACGTTAAATTATATACACTAGGTCCGAATGGGGACGTTAAATTCTATGCCCTACGTCAGAATAGGGACGTCAAATTCTATACACTAGGTCCGAATGGGGACGTTAAATTCTATGCCCTACGTCAGAATAAGGACGTCAAATTCTATACACTAGGTCCGAATGGGGACGTTAAATTCTATGCCCTACGTCAAAATAGGGACGTTAAATTACATGCCCTACGTCAGAATATGGACGTTAAATTCTATGCCTTACGTCAGAATAGGGACGTCAATTTCTATGCCTTACGTCAGAATAGGGACGTTAAATTATATGCCCTACGTCAGAATAGGGACGTTAAATTCTATACACTAGGTCCGAAATCTCCCTTACGTATAAAGGATGTAGTTATATAAATCGACAGTCGAATTCTCATATGAAATACCTATATTCATATCTTCATTGTTATACACCTATTGCTGTTTAAAATTTGCTGATACGATACTGTAAATTTATCTTGCTTCACAGTGACTCGTACACTATGCATAAGACTTTACAAGTATAAAGTACAAAATGTTGCTCCTACCACATTTATCTTGAGTACATCCATATGCATACATGTAATCCCGCCACCATGGATTCGTCGGATTTCCATTAACAAGGCTGCAAGTAATATGTAAGCAAAGTAGATAAGTTAAACTATAAACCAATGGTTATTTAATATACTAGTAAGGTAATGTGGGTTATTAAAATTGTTGCGGACATCTTGAACTCCAAATGTTTGATAATTTGTACATTGTTGGAAAAAATAAAATTTATGTGTACGAGCTTTAGAAACAGGACGAAAAGCGAAGCTTGCCGAGCTGTTTCGTAGCGAGTACAAATACATTTTATATTTCCGACAATGTACATATATTGTTTTTATCCTGTTACTTACACCAGAATTTTAAAGCTTTAGTTGTTTACGTCCAAAAAGTTGTCTCTGATTTTTCATAGAAATCGACATAGTTTAAACGCGGATCGCGAAGAGGACCCCAAAATGAACTGTTACGCAAAAAGAAATATTCATATTACCAGTTGCTCAACATGGAAGCGGGGTAAAAGAGAGGCGAAGGATACCAAATAGACATTCAAACTCACAAGTCGAAAATAAACTTACAACGCCATGGCTAAAAAGAAAAAGACAAACAAACAACAATACACAAAACACAACATAAAAAACTAAAGACTGTACAACACGAACCCCACCAAAAACTGGGGGTGATCCCAGGTGCTCCGGAAGGGTAACAGGAGACTTTATTCGTACAAGTACAAATCAAAAAATTATTTGTGTTATAAGATAAGAAAACAACACGTTATAAATTTCATGCGTTCGAAGAGGACAATAGTTGGCTGATTGCAGGATAAATTATTTTACCGAATAAAAAAATGAAGAATGTGATTTTTAGATGGGATTACACAAATAATTTAACTGTGAATTTATCTTTTTTGTTATGTAGCTAAAAAACGAGAAAACAGTCTCTCGGTCTGTTTTCATACTTTAATTTTACTGTAAATTATCCTAACACGATATGGGAATTTTGCAGAACAGTTTGAAAACAAGATCAGTTGCATAAAGTTTATACTTCTTATACTTTTTTACAACTTTAGAATTTGCATGATACAAGCTACCTTATAGGTATTTAATTCTATTTATTACATTGGTTGCAATGAATTACATTGATTTACCAGTGAAATAAAAATCGATAATTTCACATGTGAAATAAACGTGGTTATTTCACTCCTCTGACGTCATACAACAATAGGCGTTGTCAAGACGTCGATAACGTCGGATCTTGAAAAACAAATCGTGAATGCGTAGAAAAAGATATAGTTCCTTACATTTTCTACTTTAATTTCATAAAAAAAAGTCATTTGCCAATGTAATAAAAAGAATAACTAATCAAAGAATTCAAATATCGAAAAATATTCAACTCGTGACCGAACAACACTGATAGTTAACTCATGCGCTACGCGCATTCGTGAATTAATGTGTTGTTCGGTCACTCGTTGAATATTTTTCTCTATTTGAATTCTTCGATTAGTTATTCTATAATTAATTATATTACATGTTTGTTACAAAATAATCCGTACTTTGGATTTGCTGAAAGAATATCAAATCATATTTCTCAATAAAATTCAACTGCCATGACTGCACATGTTTTTCACGACAGTTACACAACAATGCATAGGAAAACAAACGAAAAATGTGTTATATATAACTCGTAATTTCTTGGTTGTAGCATAAAAATGTAATTATAATAAACAGCTGCGCCATGAGCGCATGATACGCCCGTCGTCTTGTGTGTGAATTTTTATTCAATAAGCATAAATAGTTTCTGACATACGGTGTGACATGCGAAAACCCCCTTTTTTTTTTACAAAAAACTCAATATCTCTAAAATAAAATTTTGAATCAAAGCCAAAAAGTATACAGATCTTTAGATTAATATAACTAAGAAGTGTGTAAAATTTTAAGCAATAATCATAAATCGTTTTTGAGATACGGCGCGACATTTGAAAAACCCCTCCCCCTTTTTTTACAAAATACTCAATAACTCAAAAATAGAATTTTGAATCATCACCAAAAAGTATACAGATCTTAAGGTTAATATAACTAAGAAGTGTGTAAAGTTTTAAGCAATAATCATAAACAGTTTTTGAGATACGGCGCGACATGTGAAAAACCCCTCCCCCTTTTTTAACAAAATACTCAATATCTCTAAAATAAAATTTTGAATCATCACCAAAAAGTATACAGATCTTAAGATTAATATAACTAAGAAGTGTGTAAAGTTTTAAGCAATAATCATAAATTGTTTTTGAGATACGGCGCGACATGTGAAAAAAAAACACACACCTGTTTTAGTTACTAAGTCCCGTAACTCAAAAAGTTTTAATCTTTTTTTTTCACCAAAAAGTATACAGATCGTTTGACCATCATAAGAAACAACTATGTTAAGTTTCATGAAATTTGGATAAGTCATTCTCAAGTTACGGTGCGACATGTTTACGCCGGACAGACAGACGGACGGACGGACAGACAGACGGACAGACAGACGGACGGACGCCGGACATTTGTATACCATAATACGTCCCGTCAAAAATTTGACGGGCGTATAAAAATTGAATGCTTTCTTTTTGGTATTTTTTGGGGCTGAAAAAGCGTTAATCGTGCGCACATGTTTATAGTATGAAACGCTTCCGCGCTTCATACAAAATGTCACGGCTTCGGTCAACGCCTTGACATCCCAATGAAATTACAAACAGAAGCATTCAATTCTTAAATACTTTTTACTAATCCTCCAGTACTATTTTAAAACAACAAAATATTAATTATAACGACTATTAAACCAAAATGTTTAAACAACATGTATACCTGACAATTTTGTAGTAATTATGATAAAAAGAATATGTTAAGGCTTTTTTGAAAATGTGCATATTTGTTTTGGCCAGAATCCTAAAGGTAATGCACCACTTTTTTATCGTCAAAGTTAAAAACTTGCTATTTCATCAGTTTTTCGGTAGTAATAAATGGAAATAGTTATTAGCAACTTACGAAGTAAAATACGTTTTGAAGCCAGGTATGTTGCCAAGCAATAACTGCACACCAACAGATCCTTCTAGTACTTTTTTAATGTCATCATTTTTAAACGCCCTTCCAGCCCAACCGTCGGTAGCTATCCAGTGGAAAGACGATTTTGCATGCGTTGTTTGACTGACAGCTTTGAATAACTCAATGGCGGTATGTGGCCTTAGAATTAAAACCACCACAATGTGACCTACAATAGATGTTTTAACGTACTTCTGTATGTACTATGGTAACTACATTGATAACTATCGTATATGATAAATTATCACAGAATTATAAACAGAAAATCTGTAAAGGGTTCCGTGGAACCAAGTGTCTCGCCTGCGATTGCTGTAAAATATAGTAAAAGTGTAATGTTGACCAGTGTAGAAGTGAGTCCTTTTATCAGTAAAATGACGAATTTAAAAAAAAATGCTTTTTCTTAAAGATTAGCTTCTCCCCAAGTTTCATAACAATCCATGCAGATTTACGGGAAAATGAAGATAAATATATTCAAAATTTTGCTCTGAATACTGTATGTTGGTCATAAAAAAGTAATGTGTCCAAAACTTCCATAAAATTATTGATATCTGAAAAAACTTTAACCACAGACTGATCCTAAATGTTGCCGATGTCGACGCCGATGACGGAATCAAGGATCGCTATGTCTCGCTTTCGCAGTCTCGACAGAAAGGTATATAGATTTTCGTCTACTGTCAAAATAAAGTATATATCAGTATAATGCTAAGATTGCCAATGAGACAACTACAAAAATGGATACATATACCCCAAGGGATAACAAGTGACAATAGCAGGTCATTGACAGTACAGTCTCCCGCATTAGATGACAATAACAGATCATTGACGGTACAGTCTCACGCATTAGATAAAACTCAACATAATGCTACTGAAGACCCCAGTATTACAAAATGTGAAACATCAAAGGAGAAAACCAACGGCCTGATTCATAAAACCCAACCGTATGCTATTGAAGACCCCAGTATTACAAAATGTGAGACATCAAAAGAGAAAACCAACGGCCTGATTCATAAAACCCACCCGTATGCTATTGAAGACTCCAGTATTACAAAATGTGAGACATCAAAAGAGAAAACCAACGGCCTGATTCATAAAATTCATAAAACCCAACCGTATGCTATTGAAGACCCCAGTATTACAAAATGTGAAACATCAAAGGAGAAAACCAACGGTCTGATTCATAAAACACAACCGTATGCTATTGAAGACCCTAGTATTACAAAATGTGAAACATCAATAGAGAAAAACAACGCCCTGATTCATACAACAACAATGAACGAAAAATAAATATGACAGACAGCAGCTAACGACAACCACTGGGTTTCGGGTTCCTGGTACATACACAATGTAGAACTGATGATGTGGCGGGGTTAAGATGTTTGTGAGCTCTCAACCCTCTTGCTAACCTGTGGCATTGTCGTCAAAGTATCGTAAGCGGGGCATGAAGGGACAAAAGACATAAAGTAAACGTACCGATCTTACAGTAAGTAATCTCATTTACTGAAAGCTAGTCCAAAGCCTAATTTTAGCCAAAAAAATTTAACACCTAAATGCCATTCAGCGCAACTCCAATGGATCTAGGATAACAGAGTCATAAGCAGTCTAAGAATATTATTACCTTCAACCTATTTTCAAATTTTTTTATTAAAATTATAAGTCATCGAGATTGTTTTCAGGCTAGAGGTTGTGAAAAATGGACATGTTTTGTAAGGATTGTACATACAAAGATAATTATTCATTTTCTTATGAGAACAGAAAGAAAACTTCATAGCTGAATTTCAAAGTAAAATATGAAAAGATACCTTTTATAAAAAAATAAATAACAAAAATTCAGAAAGTTATCTAAGATGGCGAAATATCTCATACCTTAACATGTGTTGTTTTCTAGATTTGAGCTTTTTTATTACTATTTTTCAATTTGTTTGCGTTTATCAAATACATTTGAAAAATATTGATAAAAAAGTAATATGAGATTCTTCGCCTTCTTATCTCTTTCGTAAAAACCAAAGAGAACGTCTGGTCGAGGGTACAAAGATTAATATATTTTACTATTGGTTTTATACCTTTCATATTTTTATGTTTCAATAAAGTTTTGATTGTATGTTGATTCTGTGTGTCCGATGGATCGTATGGTAGCTTCATTGATACTCCAACACAGAAATCACCACGCATGGTCAATTTCTCTAACATCGATTTGAAATTGAATCCATAGCTGCTGTCTTCATACACAATGGAGATGTATTTATATTCCAGACTCCTGTTTCAAATAGAAGATTCACGTTTCACTATAATTATGCCTGCATATTAACGCATTTTTTTTATGTTATGATGTGTCTGTCTTCCTGTCTGTTCGTTTCTTTCAGTTTTATGCGTCTTGCACGATATTTTTTGTATTGCCCACACCACCAAGCTGAGGCAAAAAGATCAATAAAATATAGGTTTGGTTTAAATTCAGAGATCAAGAAAATAGCAGAAACGTAGCTACCAACACTGTTGTAGTAGGCATGACAATGCTGTCTAATTTCGTGCTTATTTGTTAAGAAGTTAATGGGTTCAAGTAATATTTCAAGTGTCATGACAAAAGGTACTATTTTGAGTGCCACGACAAAAGGTAGACAGATGTTTAACAATAAATATAATATCAGTGAAAAAGCAGAGCAACTATTTGCAGCATTATATTTATACATATTATATTATAAAGTTTACGTCTAAAACAAGTCTACAACGTATTATGTTAAATGCAGCGAAAAGAATAACACATGTTCTCCTATAAAGAAGGACTAAATGTATTGACCATAGAAAAGTCATATACCGACTAATGAATTAGACAAATAAGATCGATAACTGCAGATAGCCAGTTCCAGAATATTCCATCAAGTTAGTGTTTAGTCGCAACAGTCCACATTCTTCGATCCAGGAGTGTGGATTTAATCAAGTCCACATTCTTCGATCCAGGAGTGTGTGGATTTAATCTAGATAATCATATGGATAAAGGAAACCATTGAATGTGTAGGACTAAAAGGTACGGACAAAACGATAGTCATATCGGTAAAGGAAACCATTGAATGTATAGGACTAAAAGGTACGGACAAAACGATAATCATATCGGTAAAGGAAACCATTGAATGTATAGGACTAAAAGGTACGGACAAATAGTTATCAGTGGCATCTTTGGTCTTCCTTCTCCCAGTGTGTCAGAACAACATCAAGAACGATTGCTATTACAAAACAATTTTGAAACCAACACCAGCTGATTTATTGTGCGATTATATTTTCTATATATCCTGAAACATGCTGAATTGTATGACATATTTGACATTATGTAAAATTAGTTAATACAATATATTCGATTTACAATGACAATCTATTAAAAACTACCTTCAAAAGGGAAATATAATTATTTCATCCCAGAGTCGTCAGTCCATTACATTGAAAATATTTGCAGTACGACAAATTTTCCTGTCGTGGAAGCACAAAAACATGTTCTCTCAAAAACGAGGCATCATATCGGAATCTAAGAGAATCACAATGCCACTAAGTAATATTGCTTTAAGATGGTTAAACACAACTACTGCAGACCATACAACAGAAGGGATCTATCAGCAAAGAATAACTATATTTGACAATATGTGATGAACGGATGATCTCTATCTGTTACTCTGATTTCCAGGAAAACAAACAACAATGCAACAAACTGATGTTGACCAATCCGAAACAAATCAAATCAGACGGTACGAAGTTGATGAAGACGTCAACAAAACGATTCTTGAATGATTCGAAAGAAATAAACGGAAAAATAATAACTTGGACAGACCGAGTAGTAGATGAAGTTAATACAGAAATCCATTCAGAGAAAGCTCCCTAAGTAGTAGATAAAGTTAATATAGAAATCCATTCAGGGAAAGCTCCCTAAGTAGTAGATAAAGTTAATACAGAAATCCATTCAGAGAAAGCTCCCTAAAATGTAGATAAAGTTAATACAGAAATCAATTCAGAGAACGCCCCCTAAGTAGTAGATAAAGTTAATACAGAAATTCATTCAGGGAAAGCTCCCTAAGTAGCAGATAAAGTTAATACAGAAATCCATTCAGAGAAAGCTCCCTAAGTAGTAGATAAAGTTAATGCAGAAATCCATTCAGAGAACGCCCCCTCAGTAGTAGATAAAGTAAATTCAGAAATCCATTCAGAGAAAGCTCCCTAAGTAGTAGATAAAGTTAATACAGAAATCCATCAGGGAAAGCTCCCTAAGTAGTAGATAAAGTTAATACAGAAATCCATTCAGAGAACGCTCCCTAAGTAGTAGATAAAGTTAATACAGAAATCTATTCAGGGAAAGCTCCCTCAGTAGTAGATAAAGTGAATACAGAAATCCATTCAGAGAAAGCTCCCTAAGTAGTAGATAAAGTTAATAAGGAAATCCATTCAGAGAACGCTCCCTAAGTAGTAGATAAAGTTAATACAGAAATCCATTCAGAGAAAGCTCCCTAAGTAGTAGATAAAGTTAATACAGAAACCCATTCAGAGAAATCTCCCAAAGTAGTAGATAAAGTTGATACAGAAATCCATTCAGAGAACGCTCCCTAAGTAGTAGATAAAGTGAATACAGAAACCCATTCAGAGAAAGCTCCCTAAGTAGTAGATTAATACAGAAATCCATTCAGAGAACGCTCCCTAAGTAGTAGATAAAGTTAATACAGAAATCTATTCAGGGAAAGCTCCATCAGTAGTAGATAAAGTGAATACAGAAATCCATTCAGAGAAAGCTCCCTAAGTAGTAGATAAAGTTAATACAGAAATCCATTCAGAGAACGTTCCCTAAGTAGTAGATAAAGTTAATACAGAAATCCATTCAGAGAAAGCTCCCTAAGTAGTAGATAAAGTTAATACAGAAATCCATTCAGAGAAATCTCCCTAAGTAGTAGATAAAGTTAATACAGAAATCCATTCAGAGAACGCTCCCTAAGTAGTAGATAAATTTAATACAGAAATCCATTCAGAGAACGCTCCCTAAGTAGTAGATAAAATTAATACAGAAATCTATTCAGGGAAAGCTCCCTCAGTAGTAGATAAAGTGAATACAGAAATCCATTCAGAGAAAGCTCCCCAAGTAGTAGATAAAGTTAATACAGAAATCCATTCAGAGAAAGCTCCCTAGAATCATGTGCATAACAGTGTAGACGAGACCATTGATTGGCGCGCTAAAATATACCATTGACTGGGTCAGATTAGGTGAACGTTCGTCTGTAACGCCCACTATTCACGACGTATTTATTATAGACATTTAAACTGTGGGGTCACCAAAGGGTCTCAACGCCTAAATAAAATAATTCGAAAAACTAATCAGGAACAACCTTTGTGTTTTGATTTATATTGAATACTTAAAAGTTCTGTACTTGTGTTTTTATTATGTTTTGATAATCAATTTTTATGATATCGCACGTTCTCTCAGCAAAAAAAAAGATTTAACTGGCTTTAAAAGTTACAATGCATGTGTTGATTATTATCTTTTTTCGGACGTCAAAGCGATTTAACAATTGCGGTTGTCCAATTATGTCATCTTTTAACTTTTATCTGGTCAAAATTTTATTTTAAAACAAATGCATGATCAACTTTAAAAAGTGTGCAAACACAAAACATATAGACAAAATATACTTCTGTCCTGTCTTTTTTGTACTTGCAAGTTATTAGACAGTAAAAAAGCTTTTTGGATCAAGCCTTGTGAAATTTGCATTTACGTTTTTGAATAGGTAAAATGTATAGTTTGGTGAACTTTTCTGCTAACTACTATACTTGTGAAAAATCCTTGGCAACAGAAACATATTCAGCTTTTTTTTTTCAATCGACCCAATTTACATAGTAATGGACGACTTCGTACATTTTATGATCGCAAATAAAATATGTATATAATATACTGTGCACTGTAGTTCGTATATTCATTTTTTTTCTTTTGTTAATGGATTTCCCCGTCTTTCTGGGAGTGATTATTTGTTATTGACTCCTTAAGCTTACTCGCAAATAATTTAAAACCAAGACTTGCATTATAAAAATGTCCAAACAAACCTTGATTATCCTTTTTTTAAACATACACCTCAGCCATAGATAAGGACTTAAATTCGCCAGGTCTTTAATTTCAAGTTAGTGAGTTGACCAAAGTGACATTGCGGACCATTTGCCAGTTTCCATGCGGTATCCGTGTTTTTTCACTCGCTATGTTCTGCATCCACTCAACTTTCGTGTTTGTCATGACAAGGCCATTTGAAGCTTTCATGCTATACAGTGTGTGTTTTGCTTATTGTTGAAGGTCGTACGGTGACCCGACTTTGGCACAATATGTAGCGGTGTATTGCTGTGTGTTTGTTTAATCTACATAGGCTAGAGGTATAGGGGAGGGTTGAGATCTCACTAAAAATGTTTAACCCCGCCGCATTTTTTGCTCCTGTCCCAAGTCAGGAGCCTCTGGCCTTTGTTAGTCTTCATTTTGTATGTTTTTTAATTTTAGTTCCTTTATTTGTTTAGGAGTTCAGTGTGATGTCCATTTTCACTGAACTAGTACACATTTTTGTTAAAAGGCCAGCTCAAGTGCGCCTTCGGGTGCGGGATTTTCTCGCTGTGTTGAATACCCATTGGTGGCCTTCGGCTGTTTTGTTTACTCTTTGGTCGGGTTGTTGTCTCTTTGAAACATTCCCCATTTCCATTCTCTATTTTAACATGTAACCTTTCAAACTTTTTTTTATTTGTCTTGATTATATTTGGCAATAAACAATAAAAGAAAAATAAACTACACAGCGCAGCTTCCAACAGGATTACAACAAGAAAATTAATTTTAAAAATGCGGTCAACAGTCAAAATTTGCTCGCAGCGGAAAAATGCAACAGCTTGATATTCATTTGAAATAAAATAATTGTAATGATTTACACAACGTTACTTTTTCCAATATAAACATTCAAATTATTTAGTTTTTTGTTGTTTTTGGTTAATTTACAACATCTTTACAAAGACCTCATTCTGACTTCGATATTAAGTAGACAATAAAAGCGATGTTCATTATATTTCTTCTGTTGTAAGTTTAACTTACTTATTTTGTGTCATGAATTGGTATTGATGTCACTCGTATGTTTTTAAATATAAAGAAAGGGGTAGTCCGGTTTTCTTATACGTCAATGAGACACACAAAAAAAACGACAAAAAATAATAAACTGTTATCACAGAGATATATCTCGCCTTTTTGTAATTTTGATAATGCAAATCTTGAAATTAAAATAGCAATACTTTAACATGTAAGTTATGCAAATATTCAAAGTCGATGAACCATGACTGAAGGTACATGGCTAAACAATCTCCTTGGAATGAGATGTGCTAATGCTAATACAACTGCATACCAAATACCATTGACTTATTATAAGTCGTTCCCTTTAAACAAACCTAAACACAAACATTAACTTGTAAACTATGTAAAAGTTTCAAAGTCAATGAACCATGATCAGGGGTGAGGCTATATAATCTCCATGGAAACGATACTTGCAAATGCCAATAAATTTGCATACCAAATATCATTGACTTAACATTAGCAGTTCATCTTAAACTGATCTAATCATAAACTAATACATGTAAACTAAGCAAAAGTTTCAAAGTAAATAGACCACGACTGAGGGGGCGGGGCCAAATATTCTCCATGGAAATGAGATGTGCTAATGCTTATACAACTGAACACCACTTAACATTGGCCTACCACTAATGGTTCCCCTTGAACTGACCTAATCACAAACTAATACATGTTAACTTAGCAAAATTTTCAAAGTCTATAGACCATGACTAAGGGGGCGGAGCCAAATAATCTCCATGGAAATGAGATATGCCAATGCTGATACAACTGCATACCAAATATCATTGACCTACCACTAGTGGTTCCCCATAAATTGACATAATCACAAACTAATACATGTAAACTATGAAAAGTTTCAAAGTCAATAGACCTTGACTGAGGGGGCGGGGCCAAATAATCTGCATGGTAATGAGATGTGCCAATGCTAATACAACTGCATACCAAATACCATTGACCTACCACTAGTGGTTCACCATGAACTAGACCTAATCACAAACTAATACATTGTTGACGCCGCCGACGCCGGAAACAGCATACCTATGTCTCGCTTTTTGACTCCGTCAAGGCGAGACAAAAAAGGGGCAACATTCATTCTTCAACAAAAGAATACATCACAAGAATATAAGTTTTGTAAAAAAAATCAAGGTATTAAACAAAACAAAAATAAAATGATTTTTTAATTATCCGGAACTCTTCACAAACAAAACCTACATGTATGCATTGAATAAATAGTAGGCCACTCTTTTAAAATGATTACAACGTAGAAGTACTTATTCTCGAAATCAATAAGATATTTTGTGAATTAACCCCATCAACTTAAAGTTTTTTACAATGAATAAACGTATTTTTGGATTATTTAATGATATCAGCTCTGAACATTATTATTCTTTAAAATGAAACTGTTGTATGTGATGGTATACAAAAAATATTTAAAACAAATCTTTTAAAGTTTTGTGAAAAGAAAGTTTCATTTTATGTATCGAAATGTTTTACAAGTGATCATTATTTAAATCCCCACTGGAAGGCCTCTGACAGACTGAGTGAGCGTAAAATCATTGTTATCGATAGCCAATGACAAACAAGTTAAAGGTAAATTATTCAGTATTATTACCAACAAAAGTTTTACGGTTGTCTACGCTGTTATGAAAACGAGATAAAGTTAATACAGAAATCCATTCAGAGAAATCTCCCTCAGAGATGGGTAATAGAAGATAACTTTTTGGGACATGTATGATGTACCAAAGAGTACAAACTTTACTGAATGTAATTTATGTCTTCCGTTTCACAGAAAAAAAGGACCAAAACTGGTAACTAGAACAGCTATGAGTCGATAAGCATTTTCGTTGGGCAGCACTAGTATATCAAACCATAGAGAGTAGAGAAAAGTTGTAACACAGAATCGTTGACTGTCATTTTATGAGAAATGCACTAAAAGTCCGTTTCCCTACGAAGTGACTTATTATCATTATAAATTAATTATAAGGTTGAGTTGTCGGTAAGAATACTCAAAACATATTCTGGTTATAGAAATATGTATGGAACCAAGTGCTGTGATTCATAAAACAAATAGGATTGACGCTTAATTTTATATATTTCAATATGACCGGATATGTTTTTAATAATTTGATCAAGTGACACGTGCTTTAGTTGTACGTTGAGTCCTTCCTTCCTTCCTTCTCAAATTGATCTCGGTTTTTTGGTTTTTGGTGTTTTTGTAATATGCGTATTGTTGCTTCTACTTTCGGGTCGGATTATATGATAAAAATGCTAAAGTTAGGTTTTCAACAAAGTTTTTTTTAAAACAATTTACATTAAGGATGAAAAGTATAACATATAATTTCCTAAACAACGACACATCATAAACTGTTTAATGTAAATACCAAAAATAATTATTTGAACATACTAGATTGGTTAGAAGATTACAGTTGTCTGATGTCTTTTATACTTTCATGTCATTATTATTTTTTGTGTGAGTTGGCCTTTAATATGATTGATATCATCGTTCTAGTCAATTTATGATATGTATTAATCAATTAATTTATTTTCTAAATACTTGAGTAGATCAGCAATTGCTGTGGCTTGAAAGTAATCTGAAGGGACGGTTCTCTTGAAATATTGAAATCTAGTTTTGTCGCTCAGTTCTGGAGAGGTGGACTGGTAACTTATCTAAAAGAGAAAAAAAAGTCATTATTTCTTAGACCAAAGTTTCTCAATTTATTAGTTTATTTGAATTGTTAAGTAGCATATTTCTAATATATTATTGAAATGTAGCATACTGAAGGTCTAACGCGTGTAATTCAGTTTTAATCCATGGAAGTGTGAATTAAGTGAAAACATGATATTGATACTAAGGAACATCTTCTAATGCACCTCATATAGATGACTAACATATAGACATATTATGGTTTCCAGAACTTTTCAGTTCACCCGTGTAAGAGTTCGAGCTAACATTCGAGTCAACTTTGAGATAAAAAAAATCGAGTTATTGTTAAGTTCAAATTAAGTTCGAGTTAGGAGTCGCCTTTTTAATTTAACTTCAAGTTAAAGGTTAAACAACCTACAACGTTTATTCGTTCAACCGCTGAATATTAAGTCGAGAACTAGCTTTCGCTGAATATCAAGTCAAAACAACCGCTGAATATCAAGTCGAGAACTAGCTTTCGTTGAATATCAAGTCGAGAACTAGCTTTCGCTGAATATCAAGTCGAGAACTAGCTTTCATTTCTAAATGTATTGTTTATTTAATATTTTCGTTTACTTTTATATTGCATCATTCCTTACTATAATAAATGTACACTGAGGATAGCAAGCTGAACCAACAATCAAAAACAAATCGTAAGAGAAACAAATACAAATAATATAAAAATAAGGAGATGTGGTATGATTGCCAATGAGACAACTATCCACCAAAGTTCAAATGAAGTGGATGTAAGCAATTATAGGCAACCGTACGGCCTTCAACCGTGAGAAAAACCCATACCGGATGGTTGGCTATAAAAGGCCCTGACATAAAAAATATGAAACAATTCGACTGAGAAAACTAACGGCCTAATTTATTTCAAAACAATTTACGAAAAACAAATATGACAGACATGAACCAACGACATCCACTGAACTACAGGCTCCTGACTTGGGACAGGCACATAACGAATGTGGCGGGGTTAAACATGTTTGTGAGAGCTTAACCCTCCCCATAACATGGGTCAGTGGTGTAACAGTACACCATAAGAACAAAATATAAAAATCAGTTGAAAAAGGCTTAACTCATCAGATGGATACAAATAGAAATACATCTAAAAAAAACACAGAGTGGACGTGGACGGGTACTTATACATCCCCACAACAAAAAGACACTAAGTACAGATCTAAGAGTACTCACAGTAACTGACAGCTAGTTCAAAGCCAATCAAAAATAATTAAAAAAATTCGTAAGGGTTCCACGGAACCCAGTGTTTCGCCTACTTTTGCTGTTAATCGCAGACTCAACAAAAATGAGGAAAAAAAATAATAAAAATATTCCTCTCTATACTATCTTTTGATTGTAAGTAGCTTCTGTCCAATTTTGGTAAAAATTCAGGATAGTTTATGAATCTAATAAATGTTTAAAAAACGTAAACTGCAGACTGTATGTAATGTTAACTGGAAGAAAAACTAAGTCCATTTATAAGTAAAATACAGAAAAAATGGAATTAAATTTTAACAAAATTTCCTTCTAGATACTAGCTTTTAATCATAAACAAGCTTCTGTCCATGTTTGGTACAAATTCAGGATAGTTAAAGAAAGTTGTTAAAATTTTAAAAACTTTAACCACAGAGTGAATGTAATGTTAACTGGCAGAAAAACTAAGTCCATTTATAAGTAAAATACAGAAAAAAATGGATTTTTTTTTTTGCAAAATTTACTTCTGGATACTATCTTATGATCATAAACAAGCTTCTTTCTAAGTTTGGTACAAATCCAGGATAGTTTAAGAAAGTTATTAAAATTTCAAAAACTTTAACCACAGAGTGAATGTAATGTTTCCTGGCAGAAAAACTAAGTCCATTTATAAGTAAAATACGAAAAAATGGATTTTTTTTGTGCAAAATTTACTTCTGGATACTATCTTATAATCATAAACAAGCTTCTTTCCAAGTTTGGTAGAAATCCAGGATAGTTTAAGAAAGTTATTAAAATTTCAAAAACTTTAACCACAGAGTAAATGTAATGTTTCCTGGCAGAAAAACTAAGTCCATTTATAAGTAAAATACGGAAAAAATGGATTTTTTTTTTTGAAAAATTTACTTCTGGATACTATCTTATGATCATAAACAAGCTTCTGTCCAAGTTTGGTAGAAATCCAGGATAGTTTAAGAAAGTTATCAAAATTTCAAAAACTTTAACCACAGAGTGAATATTTGTGGACGCCGCCGACGACGACGACGACGACGACGCCGACGGAATGTAGGATCGCTATGTCTCGCTTTTTCGACAAAAGTCGAAGGTTCGACAAAAATCATGTATCTAAGACTAAAATATCAATCAGTACACATCCAACATCCAATGGATTTAGTGTAAAGACGTCATTAACAGTCAGAGAAAAACATGACCTTGTGCAATGCCAAACTATAGGTATCGACAGATTGTAGTACCGTGAAAGTAAATATGTGTAATATTAGTTTGGTTTTAATTTACTGATAGCAAAATCAATATTAGTACCAATAAAAACAACATTCAAAAATTTAATTACAGTGTTGAATAGGTAACCTTTTAGAATAAATTTATTTAAAGGATTGATAGGTTTACCCGGATCGTATATAAATTTCCTGGCTCGGTTTACAATTTATCAATTAAATGGAATTTAGACGGTTCTTTACTGAGTTTGGCCATAAACTGTGATTCATAACAGTAAAGGAACAAGTCTACTATTAAAGGGGTAAAATTGGTGCCCATAGGAATACATACAACCTGTCGATAAACTCTACTGCCGAAACATACATAAATGTTGTCAAGGAGAATATTTAGTGCTTTAATCATCTCATCACACCTCCAGTAAGTATATCTAGCATATTTATCTTTCTCATTAGAGAAAAAGGTTTTATATGAGTTGCAGTAAATAAATTTGCAACCAGATTTATTATACGACCATTTAATTAGATAGGAAATGTTTTGTTTAATAAGATTGTGTGGAAGTGTAGTATAATTGATGGATTATACTATTAATACTACTGTGGATTCATTTATTTTCGTTTGTACCAATTTTCGTGGATTGAGGAAAAATCGTATGTTGGTGGATATTTGATTTCGTGGTTTTGTCAAAGTCAGCATACAAGCCTATAAAAAAGCTGTACTTCGTTGAACATTTGAATTCGTGGCTCACCTATACCCACGAAATCGACGAAAATTGGTATCCAACGAATAATAATGAATCCACAGTAAGACTGTAAAACAAAATGTAACAACTCGAATTCTTTGAAAGTCAAATCAATTCCATGAATCAAAGTGAGTGAGTGTTGATTTAAACAAGCAATTTATTATGTATTGGCCTTAATACGAAACTATTAGAAAGCCAAAATTTGACAAATGAAAATTAACACTACTTGAGCTATGATCCTGAACAGATTTTTTTTTTAAACAAAGAAATCATGGTATTTTCAGATCAAATTTGCTTCAGAAAATGATAACTTTAAGAACTGATGTAACAATTAGACACATTATATGATTAAATGCTGGAAATTATCTGAATTTTAATTAATCAATCAACTGCCGAAGCACTGACTTATGTAATTGGTGGATTATACTATTGATACTAACTGTCCAAACGTTATAGTATGGGCCCAAAATATCATATCATAATCATAGTTGAATTAACTGCTCAACAAGCTTTCCTAGACTAAATAGATACACTATTGGCTCAAAATTCAACCATTTCATACTATAGTCGAAACATGGTCACGTGGGTTATACGTCAATGATACAACAACGGTCAACGACTAGCAAAGATCTTCAACAATACACATGTGTTATACAATACGTGGACTATACGTCAATGATACAACAACGGTCAACGACTAGCAAGGATCTTCAACAATACACATGTGTTATACAATACGTGGATTATACGTCAATGATACAACGGTCAACGACTAGCAAGGATCTTCAACATTACACATGTGTTATACAATACGTGGATACAACAACGGTTAACGAGCCCAACAAGGATTTTCAACAATACGTGGAATTCTATAATTACCTCGAGGTCAACGATCAGCAAGGATCTTGACCAATACACATGTGTTATACAATACGTGAAGTTCTATAATTACCTCGAGGTCAACGACCAGCAATGATCTTCAACATTACACATGTGTTATACAATACGTGAAGTTCTATAATTACCTCGAGGTCGACGACCAGCAATGATCTTCAACAATACACATGTGTAATATAATACGTGGAGTACTAAATCACCTCGAGGTCGACGACCAGCAAGGTTCTTCAACAAAACACATGTGTTATATAATACGTGGAGTTCTATGATTACCTCAAGTCTATAGATATTTTTGATAAGGAAAGACTATCATTGCAAAATTGTATATTGAATTAGGGACATTATTATATAGCAAGAATGAAAGAATAAACTAGTTTCCAACGAAATCAGCAATGCATCTACAACAAAGATATAAAAGACTTTTCGAGTGAGTATTCATTGCATCTCAATTTATCAGTCAGAAATACTTGTTCATCCACCTTTAGTAAGGTTCTTGTTGCTCAGTCTTTAGTTTTCTATGAAGTGTTTTGTATAGTTGTTTGTCTTTTTGTCGAGTTCTGTTTTTTGCCATGATAGTGTCGGTTTTTCTTCGACTTATAATTTTTGGTTGTCCTTTTTGTATCTTCTGTCTCCTTTTAATTGCAACAGTTGCGTGGACGTGGATAAACAAAATAAACTGTTGACGCAGAGATATGTCTCTCCTGTCGGCATAAAATTCAGAAAAAGACAATTTGATGGACAGCAACATGGTTTATCAATTCAGTCGCTGGACCATTATCTAGTTAGCAGGGTCTGAAAATAATCGTCAAACTGATATGTACTGAGAGTAATGCAAAGTTATACATGTTATACAAAATATCATTGGTCTATCACAAGTAGTTCTTATCAAACTGACTGAAGCAGAAAACTTAACATTGAAAATTGCTAATAAATTCAGTCACTGGACTATGACCTAGGGGGCAGGGCCTAAAAATAGTCCCTAATTTTTGCCGCATGACCATATATATTTATTTGGTTGCTATGCAACACTGACATTTCTAGTAACAGGCGCTGCTACCCATTTTTTCCTAGTTTGTGTAGTTTTCGAGAAATAAAATATGGAACACCACTGGTACCTTATGGAAAACGCATTACGAATAATTGCGTTCATGTAACCTTTATTTCTCTACTACGTTCAGGGGACATTACATCATTTCTAAATTAGCATAGAGCATACACTACTCCTAAATTTACCTATCCCGAAATATATAGATCAACACAAAACGCACTTAGATTTATATGAATGTATTTGTCCATATAAGATTTTGTGTAATTTCGCCATTTTTCTGGACCTATTATAATTCGTGGCTGAAAAAAACCCCATGAACAGGAAATATTTAAAACCAAAATTTCAAGGTTTTATTAAAGAAAAGCGTTTTTAAGATTTTGAAACGAATTTGATATTATAATAACCATAGCTTTATACCATCATCTTTTACTCTAGATCAAACCTTAACTCTGTGGAAGTTCACTCCAGCCCAGATTCTGAATCGAACTCTAACTCGAACCTTTATTCATAGATGCGATTATTATGGATGATGATGATGGAAAATAAAATACTAGGCAGGACGATATGAATATCCTGCTTCGTACTACACCGACAACCTGAGCTTGATTTTTAACGTGCAAGTTCACACATTATTCTGACTAAGCCGACCAATATTTGCTCTTACTCCTCCATGATGTGTGTTTAGCAGAGAAAAAACAGTAAATATCAATATTAAAGTCTTTGGTTTGTATCGAACCCATGAACTCTCTCACTCTCACACTCGAGGGAAGCATAAGACCACCGAGGCAGTTCAATTATTTAATATCATTGTATATGGATGTTCTCATCACTTGTATAGTCCCTTTATCTGGCCTTCCTAATTTGTATAGTCCCTTTACCTGGCCTTCCTAATTTGTATAGTCCCTTTACCTGGCCTTCCTAATTTGTATAGTCCCTTTACCTGGCCTTCCTAATTTATCGACAGTGTTTTATTTTTATTTGTATTAGTTATCACACAAACCTGTGGAACTTTGAACAGACGAAGCAAACTTGCTACAGGAATTGACAATTTACTGGAAGCTGGACCAATGACACCAATCAAATTATTTGTCATTGTGTTGCCAGATTTACACGTGCATGTTTCTGTGTTCACGTTTTTGTTTATTCTCATATCTAACAGTTCGTTTGTATTATCCAATGAGATTGTTTCACTTTCACACGTGTCAACTCCTACCATTCCAAGACTTAGTCCAGGAAGAATTTTTGCGTCGTTATTAATCGTTTGTATTGAATATTTCATAGCTTCCAATGCCTGTATGCCATCCTGTCCTTGGATATCAGAACACTTTTCCAATTCAGGTTTGAATGTTGAGTGAATGGGAAACAGTCCACCTAGAACTAGATCTCCTTCAAGAATATATTTGTCGTCCTCCGGTACAAAAGCAATGGAAAGCGATACCATCACATGCATATATATCCACAAAAGTGTCATAATTATTTATTAGAAAATTATCTACATTTTATAATGCGATTACAGTTGATGACCTCTTGGATTAAGCTGAGAGTTGATATATAAGAGAGCACCACGTTGGTTTAACCATACTATGTAAACCTGGTATAAATACAAGAACATAGGCAATAATCAATGGTCTACAGTTATAACAATTGACTTTTAATTTGCTTAAAGGCTTATTGTACGCGGAAAACTAAAAACGATTAACATGATACTTTAAGTTTCCTCTTCATTGTATTTAATATATTTCCATCAAAATGTTATGTAGAAAAGTTTAGTAAATATAGAGTTGTACTTATCTGAACAAAATATTAATGAGATTTTCTTTTGATCCTCATTTTCCAACATTTGACATTGCATTATATCACACGTACTTTTAAGTTTTTCTTTACCGATTATGATCGGATAGCAAGACAGATATTCAACATTAGCAATTGACTTCCATTTCAATTATTATATACATATATAAGTACTAGTTTATGAATATTCTGAGTAATCAAAAATATTAGAATGGGTTTTTCAAACGAGGAAGTTGACGGTGCAATCGATGACTGGGTGTTTCCGAATTGTCAAGAGGGCACTAAGTCCTTAGTTCTTGGTACAATATAACAGACTGCAATTATTCTATTATTGAAATCATGGCAGAAATGAAAATAGATTATTCGCGATAGTAGAGGATTTTGATTGGACTCTTTAAAATAAGTTCTCAAATACCCGTCATAGTAGTTACATAACATACGCCTAATTTAGGCTACAGTTGACTCATGCTAGATTGTATGAGGGTACTAAGATATCGATCATTCATCTTTTATGGGGCCATAGGTTTTTTCTTGTTATAATTTTTCTTTTTTTGGCTTTAACAAAAAACAATTATTTTTTTTTTTCAATAGCATACAGGAACAAAAAATAAGTGTTTGAAAATAATTGATGTTTGTATCCCCCCCCCCCCCCCCCCCCTTAATTTTTAGAAAAGATTAATAAATATAGAACTATACTTATCTGAACGAAATTAAATATGAGATAAATTGTTCTTTTGTTCCACGTTCCCCAAAATTTTACATATATCGTACATATTTTCCCCCTTAATTTTAAACAGCAACAAATAGTTTTTTCCCTTCCGGTCCCGATACAATTTCGTGGCTGTGTGTTGTGTTTCTGTCACTACACTTCAACATTTACACATAAAAAACTCATCAAAGATAATAGGCTTACTAAATATACTTAGTATGTAAATTTATTACTTCGTCTACATAATACCCTTCAGTGGCGTTCATGACGTAAATGTGATTATCGACTGATTGTACCTGGACGCAGAAATATACGCAGCCAGGCGACCCAACCACTACACTTTTAATACGTGATCTGTTAAGATCTGTTAGTGCACATACGGAATTAGCCTCAAGTTCTTCGCTAATAAAATGATAGTTGTTCATACAGTAATTATAACAAAATAATACGATCCTTACCTTTTATCATTGTTTTCTATAATATGATATGAGACAGGTAGGGGAACGTTATCTATGTTTTGGTCAAGGGTCGAATGTTTAAGGATAGTTACATTCATAATTAATGAATGATATCATTTGTACAATGTCATATTCTATGTGTAACATTGTATAACCAATGCTCGTCTTGTTTTAAAGATGTCCTTTACTATTAAAATCCTTAAGTTGTGAATATATTTTACAATGTAGTCAACTTCGTTAAGTTAATAAATAGTCTAAAAAGATCCTTGCATGTACTAGAAATTTACCAAGTAATTCGTATCTACGCTGCCACAACCTTTGAGTACAACCAGGCTTTAAGTTCCCTAGTAATTCGTATCTGCGCTGCCACAACCCTTTGAGTAGAGCCTTTAAATTCCCGAGTAATTCGAATCTAATCTGCCACAACCTTTGAGAACAGCCTTTAAGTTCCCAAGTAATTCGTATCTGCGCTGCCACAACCGTTGAGTACAGCCTTTAAGTTCCCGAGTAATTCGAATCTAATCTGCCACAACCTTTGATTTCCCAAGTTTTTGACAAGGCATTTGACAAAAAACTGTGAAGAATTGCATATTCATAAGAAATCTTCATTGTCGAACCTGTCACGGACGACTTGGGAGCGATATATATCAATCCTTCAGTCGTGCTTAGTCTGCGGTGGCTTGGGCGTCGACATGTAGGTTCAGTCTTATTTTTATTTTTTTTTTATATATCAATAACATTGTCAAACCTTCTTGGAATTGTATGTAACTTTGGACAGAAGCTTTTTCATTCTAAAGACAGTATCCAGAGCAATATTTTCAAATTGGCTTTTTTTCCATTCATTTTCTTTATTTTAGACATTTTACTGATAAATGGACTTTACATCCGACAGTAGCAATCGCAGGCGAAACATAGGGTTCCACGGAACCATTTAAAAGTTATTTTAACAATTAATATATTATTTTAACCGGCTTTCCATACATTATTTGTGTCAACGTTTTCAATAGTATAGTAGTCATACTGGAGATGAAAATATAAATCATATAAATCATAAAAAGTTTATGTATAGGCTATGTTCAAGTAGCACTACATGATATTCGGCAGTGGTCTCGACAGAGAAGTAATATGACAACTTAGCTCATCCGCGTTCATTCACAGAGTAACATCTACTGTTGTGCATGTAAAAACCCTTGCAACAACACTTTGAGGGATCCGTAGGTGGCCTTTTGCAAGGCAAAATTTCTATCCCTATCCAGTTTATCCTCATATTCCAATGGCGGTCCAAATTTCCCCAAGCTTCACACCGGACGGACTTGCCTATTGTATTTATTGTTAATTTGATTTTGTCCTGAAAATGTATGAAATATTTACACCTAGACGTTAGTCAAACACCAATCAGTTAATCAACCATGTCACTCCAAAATAGAGACAAAAGACACCAAAGGGACATTTAAACTCATAAGTCGAAAATAATCTGACAACGCCATGTCAAAATAAAAGACCAAAAGACAAACAAACAGCATACAAAACAGAACGCAGAAAATTAAAGACTGAGCAACGCGAACCCCACCAAAAAACGGGAGTGATATCATGTGCTACAGAAGGGTAAGCAGATCCAGCTCCACATGTGACACTCGTCGTGTTGCTCATGTAAGTACACACCCGGTGATGATACGTCTGATTCGGTAGGTCACATTCTGGGAAAAGGAGGACGGGATTGTGTTTACGACGATTGTAACATATCAGTCGTCATCTGTAAAACAGATATTCCATAACGGTCAATCGACTCGCAACCCTCTATCAAGGAAATCATGGTAGGAAACGCAAGCCCTGGAACTGGGAAATATATACTCCATACACAGGCGCTGTTGTGGTGTTGCTACAAAGAAATGGAGAGTTCACAATTGGGGAGATGAAATCATCTCTTTTGTCGAAAAGTTTTGTTCTCAACTGACCCTAATTGTCAATTTCTATATGTAAGTCAAGATATGAGAGACTTAACTCTATCTGGTGTATCCTTTATTTCAAGTTCGAAGTTACATTCTAGAGAAAGACATGAATACCTACGAAACGCCATATCAAAATGGAGTAACGGTATCTACGACAGATGTAACTTTCTCTCGTGTCTACGACAGAGATCTACAACAGATGACAGACACACTCTCTAGTATTCAAGACAGGGACATGTAGAGAGAGGACATTTTCTCCAGTATCTACGACAGATGACACATTACCTAGCATCTACGACAGGGACGCATTCTCTGCTATCTAGAGAGAGGACACTTTCTCTAGAATCTACGACAGAGGACATTCGCTCTTTTATATACGACAGAAAAAACATCTTTCTCTGATCTACAACAGATGACACTTTCTTGAGTATATACGAAATAGGACACATTTTATGTATTTACGACAGAGGAAACTTTCTCTCGCATCTACGACAGAGGACACTTTCACTAGTATTTACGACAGAGATATACGACAGAATACACGAATACAGATGCTCTAGTATCTACGACAGGGGACCTATTATCTACTATCTGTTGAGAGAGGACACTTTCTCTAGTAACTACGACGGAGGACACATTCTACGATTGATTGATTGATTGGTGTTTAGCTACACTTTCAGCATAATTGGCTATTTCGTGGCGGTCAGTTTAATTGGCGGAGGAAGCCGGTATGCCCGGAGAGAACGACCGACCTTCGGCAGGAAAACTGACAATACTAGTCAAGTAAGGTTGCATTGGAGTCGAGCACATCTGCCACGTGCGAGGTTCGAACTCAAGACCTCAGTGTTGACAGGCTAGTGATGCAGTAGTTGGACTACTTAGACCAATCGGCCACCAAGGCATATGCATCTAAGAAAGATGACACTTTCTCTGGATCTACAACAGAGGAAAATTTCTCTGGTATCTACGAAAGAGGACACGTTTTGTTTATCTACGACAGAGGACACTCTCTGTAGTATCTACGACAGAGGACTCTTTTTCTATTACTAGTATCTACAAAAAAGATCACATTCTCTGCATCTACGAAAGAGAACACATTAAGTATCTACGACAGAGGACATCTACTACAGAGATTTCTCTAGTATATACGATAGTGGACACTTTCACTATTACTCACCACAGAGGACACAATCTAATGTCTACGACAGATGACTCAATCTTATGTCTATTACAGAAAACTCTTTAATATCCACGACAGAGGACACTTTTTCTAGTATCTACGACAAGACATTATCTAGTATCTAAGACAGATGACACTTTCTCTAGTATCTACGACTGAAGCAATTTCTCTAATATCTACGACAGAGTATACATTCTCAGAAGACACATTTTCTGTATCAACGACAGAGGACACTTTCTCATGAATCTATGACAGTAGACCCTTTCTCTGTATCTACGACAGAGGACACTTTCTCATGAATCTATGACAGTTGACCCTTTCTCTGTATCAACGACAGAGGACACTTTCTCATGAATCTATGACAGTAGACCCTTTCTCTGTATCAACGACAGAGGACACTTTCTCATGAATCTATGACAGTAGACCCTTTCTCTGTATCAACGACAGAGGACACTTTCTCATGAATCTATGACAGTAGACCCTTTCTCTGTATCTACGATTAAGTGTTTTTTCCTTAGGTGTGATTTGTTTGTGTGTCTCTCTTTAGAATAGTGTATCTGTGTGTGTGTTTTGGTTTTTAAAAATATTTTTACAGATTTTTATTCATGATAACATAGTCTGCAAAGGAAATGCCATGCTTTGAATGTTGGATGTGTACTGATTGATAATTTAGTCTTAGATGCAGGATTCTTTTTATTAGTTGACGGCTTCAATTATAAAACATGGTGTCAGAATCGATCACAGCAAGTTTAGCAGCATTGTAGGCTTCCTTGACATATACTAATTCTTATATCAAGATTCATATCTCAGATACAAAGCACCTTATAATTAGGTACAAGGATATACGTTTATGTCAGACAGCTACTTAGGGAGCTACCATTTGATTTTTATGGGGGGATTTGGGGGGGGGGGGGGAGTCCTAGGATGAAAAATGTTGGCATGCCTTTTTTTAAGTTGTAATCTCTGTCCTGCCTTTTCATTTTTCACTATTCGGTCCTGCCTTTTTTTACATAAATTGTCATCTTGCCTTTTGTTTTGCCAAGTTGCTCATCCTGCCTTTTTTTTACTCAAATTTCATCCTAGCCCCCCCCCCCCCCCCCCTCTTAAAAATCAAATGGTAGCTCCCTTAGTGAGTACAACTATGTAATTTACTATGAGGAAGCATTCAAAAAACAGTAAAACAGCCTCTATTAAACAACTGGATTAGACATAAATGGGTGTTTTTACATGTCATAGACACACAGGAACAGCCGAACTGTATGTATAGTATACACTTGTAGAAAATCATATTGCACCTGAAAATGTACATTCACAAAAAAGTGTCCCACTAATACATGTAATAGGCTGAAGGCTTCTTTGGTGCCCAAAAACCTGGAAAAAAGAGTTGACACTCAAACAGGGAAAACAATAGATCTGATGTACTAATCTAGATCACCAAATCACTACACTCATTTTATAAAACCCAATGCAAAGTAACAGGGTATTTAATGATGTTCTTCTTCTCTGGTGCAAAATTGGAAGAATATTAAAGGTCAATGTCTGATGAAACCTCTCAGATACACCTGTCAGATTTTTTTTTCTACACTGGTTTTAAAAATAATTGACAATACTTGCAATGCATTTATCCTCATGCTCTATTTTAAACCTTGGCAGACATGTTGGTTGACAGACAGTGTCATCTGACACATTTCTTAAACTAGATACCCTTATGATGATTGTGTTTAAGTTTGGTTCCAATTGGCCATGTAGTTTCAGAAAATAAGATTTTTGTAAAAGTGAATGGAGGATACAGACCATAGACAACTGATAATGGAGTCAATGCCCAAGTGAGCTTCTCTTTGTTGGAGACCGTATGGTTGCCTATAATTGCTTAAATCCACTTCATTTGAACTTTGGTGGATAGTTGTCTCATTGGCAATCATACCACATCTCTTTATTTTTTTTTAATTAAAAACAACTAAAAGAAACAACACTTCAACACTATGATTAGCCAACCTATGTAGTATTTGTGCATTATATTTCCTTTGTATAAAAAGTTCTACAAAACCCCCAAACTATGTCTGAAATTCTGAATGTCAACACATTGTATCCCAAAAGATAAACATAAACATTCCTTGCATATACATAGCATTAAATAAAAGGAAAATTCTATTCCTCAAATATTTTATTCTTTTTAAAAGACTAGATGAAATCCTTATGCTTATAAAGAGTATTATGGTTTCAATATGACAATAAAATCTTAAGTAAAAGACAAACTACTAATGACCTATTTTTTAAAGTATTTTTCCAATAAGTAACTTCTTAATAGCCTGTATTTAGACTTTACTTTGGTATTCATGTATTATTTGATTGTTCTTGGCTTCTGGTTAATTAATTGCAATGTCTAGTTGTATGGCAGTTGAATGCTTTTGTTACTGTGATGAAATGGGCAAAAGGAACTTTGTCAGATGATACTATTTAAAAAATAAAACACCTGGGCCACGAGGTCATCAAACACCCATCCTTAGCAACATACAGTTCATATCAAACCATAAAAAGGAAGATTTTTTGAAAATTGTAACTCTGCAACAAGAATATTAAAATGGAATCCAAAATAATAGGTGGTGTAAATATTTTGCATAATTTCGCTCTTTCAAGGACCAGTAATCTGGTAATCAAAATAGCTTGTATTCCAATGTGAAACAATCTGAGGCTTATGGCCAACAACGTCTATACACTATCTACCAAGTTGAAAAATTTTGTTATGGGAACTATGTGCCAACAATGCCATCATGTTTGCCTCCTGTTCAACATTGAACGAGGATACTTTGTAGAAGGTTTCCCAATCATTTAAATGTTTTTTTGCTTCAAATATTTTGCTTTGTAGTTTCAGAGCAGAATAATTTTGAAAATTGGCCATTTAGAATCAAAGATTGCCTAATGTGGCCATGTTTTGGTCCAATTAAAACCAAATGAGAATAAACTGCTTTGCTGAGCTCAGCTGGATACACCTGCAGAGGTCCAACCCTGAACAGTTGGGGCAAAAATGGACACAATATTCAAGCTCAATACAGGTCTGAATTTGGATTGTAATTAAATATTTGACACATTAGAGGTTTCTGACACAGAATAAATGTAGTCAAAGAACTTGAAACGGGTTGTATGATTTCTTGCTGTTGTGCAATACACTGTGCTGTTGTGCAATACTAAGTAAATCTGTTTTCAGACTATATACTAACGAATTAGCAAAATAAATTGTGACCCCAAATTTGTTTCTTTGGAAAATTGACAATTTCTTAAATCATGAGGGAAAAAAAATTGACCCCCCCCCCTTCCAAAAAAAAAATATTTGAAGAGATTTTCTTTTTAGGAAAAACAATTGCCCCCCCCCCCCCCCAAAAAATAAAAATTACCCCCAAAATGAATCCCAACCTTCTACTTGTGGTATTGAACCTTGTGGTACAATTTCTGAGCAATCAAATTACTTATACACAAGTTATTGTCCTGAAACTAGAAAAATGCTTGTTTTGGCCCCTTATTCCTAAACGGTTGGGACCATCACCCCCAAAAACAATCCCAACCTTCCTGTTGTGGTATTGAACCTTTTGGTTAAATTTCATAGAGATCCATACACTTAAACTCAAGTTATTGTCAGGAAACCAAATGTCTTCGGACGACGCTGACGTGATACCAATATACGACTGCAAAAAATTTTTGCGGTCGTACAAAAATGTTTAAAGGTCTATACATCATTCCTAACCAAGTTTTTTCATACCAGCAAGTTGTTTCAGAGTGATTTTCTCTAAGAGTTTAAAAGGAAACTGTTCTACCATGTTTGCAACCAGATCAACATTAAATGGGGATCATTTTTAAAGGCTCTCCAAATCAACAATCATAAAAAGTTTTTAAACATTTTGTGTTGTAGAATCAAAGATAGCCTCTGGTAGCTGTGTTTTTCATCTTATCGGAACCAAATGATGATAGTTTGTAGAAAACCTTCCATACATCATTCCTGCCAAGTTTGGTTAACATTGACCATGTAGTTTCAGAGATAACAATGAAAATGTGATTCACCATACAGTTTCAAAGGGCACTTCGTACCACTAATGTACCACCAATATCAAATTTGGTTAAAATAGGCCAAGTTAGTTAAAGAAGATAATAAGGTGAAAAGTTTACAGATAATGATGGAAGAATGCAAGTGATGACAATAGATAATTTGGCCTTTCAGGCCGGTTGAGCTAGTAAACACAAAAACTATAAACACTCTCTAAATACCTTTCCAAATTATATTTGTAAAACAGTGTGTACAAAATTCATAAGGATGTATATATATGAAAGAATATCAAATTTATCATGACCCAATTATAATAAAAATAATTGCTATGTTTTGACGATTAAAAGTCCTTTACTGTAGACAGACTAATTTAAAAATCCTCAAAATCGACCTTGGCTTAAAAAAAGTAAAATGATGTGAACTGAAGAAAATACACTCTAATTATCACCTAGCATATGAAAAGTGCCAAGTTTTTTATGAATACAGTGTAATAACTTTGGAACCATTGATCTACAAAATTAATCAGTATTACATGTATTATACAAAGTAAGCTTATGAACCTATAATTGGTCAATTTCTCACAATTTTTTTCCTTTTTTCACATTTCCCAACCGATTGTGAAAAAATTGTTCTCCTCACTAGTGAAATAACTGTTCTCGGCAAATGATTGGTAGAAATTTAATTATTACGTCAAATATTGATTTCTTCTGAATTTCCTATTGTGACGTCAAGAAAAAAGGCAACCATGCCTGATGACGTCACAAATAAAGAACACAACTTTCTGCAAATCTTTGAAAATGATGGATAAAAATAATTAGAGAAACAGATTCCACCACTATAACTCGTGTATTACGATATTTCTCCACTCTCAACAATTAAATTTTAATTATTTGAAAAGTTCAGCAAGCCTCCCGGTTTTAGGAATAAAATTTAACTATCCGAGTGGAGAAATATCTTACAACACGTGTTGCAGGATACTGAGAGGATACTTGATTTAATTATGGGACATTTGAAAAAATTGCCTCATTTTAGATGATTAATTAAAGTACTGCGACTCTGGATTAACTAATATGAAAATCTTCAAAATCGAAATAGAGCTAACAGTCATTAGTTGTGACACTGTTAACAAATTCCATGTAGTTCTGTGAAAGCACACATGAGTTATCAATAGACATTTCAATGCTTAGTATTTTGATGATTAAAGTCCCATAACTCAAGATTAGACTAATCTGAAAGTCATCAAAATCGAAAGGTAGTCTCTATAAAATCTTACATTGTGTAAACATTTCATTTGTAAAGGCATTATTGAGTTGTCACTTGACATACAGGAATTGTTTGAGATTGACGTCACAACTAATCTTAAATCATCAAAATTAAAAGGAAGCAAGTCTTCATAGAACATAAAATATGTACAAATTTAGTAAGGATTCTTTCCTACATGCTTGAATTATTGTGAGACATGCTCAGACATTGAACACACAGATGGAAGAACAACAGTATACCATGATACATCTCTCTTATAGTATTTAATAAGAATGATAAATAAACCCTTAATAAAGTCTCATGACGCTGCAACAACATATATGAAAACCATTTGAAATGTATACTAACACTTTGACCACTTTTTCTGGTAATTTGGTTTAGTTTGAAAGAATTTAGTCATATCACATATTCTACTTCAGTTTGAAGGAACTTAGTTACAAAGTTAAGTCTGCATTTGACAATTACAAAATAAGGAGTTACTTAAACATGATCTACAACAGATGACACTTTCGAAAATCCGGTTAAAAATTTATTGGGACTGATGCAAAATGTGCCTGTCAGAAGCTTGCTTTCATTCAGAGGATCCTAAGGATGAATATCATCAAATTTTACATTTTATGCAAGATAAATAAAAAATAAATGGGGAATGTGTCCATAGGACACAGATGATGCCCCCGCTTGCATATAATGTTATAAAGGGACATAACTCAAGATCTGTAAAAGTGACACTACCCAAATTTGTACTTGATCTGAGTTTTGTGGTAATTAGCATTGTGTATACGTTTCATTACACTTAGTTGAGGCAAAGTTAAGTTAGAGAATGGAAACCAAAAATTGAGCAATTTTTCCATTTGTAAAGAGGCATAACTCTAGAACAGTGAAAGTGACGTCACCAAAATTCGAATTTGATCTGTGTTTTGTGGTCATTAGCATTGTGCATAAGTTGCATAACATTTGGTTAAGGCAAACTAAAGTTAGAGAACGGAAACGAAATATTTTGCAATTTATCCATTTGTAAAGAGGCATAACTCTAGAACGGTAAAAGTGACACCACCAAAATTCAAACTTGATCTGTGTTTTGTGGTAATTAGCATTGTGTATAAGTTTCATATTATTTGGTTGAGGCAAACTAAAGTTAGAGAACGGAAACCAATTATGGGAGGTACGGACGGACAGAAGGACAAGGGTAAAATTTAATGCCCCCTCTGTTACGGCGGGGGCATAACAAATGGGAAAATAAGATCAAAGTCCAAATAAATCATAAAAATTACAAGCTAGGTAAAACTTTTATCGGTCAGTGACTTCCATGCTACCAACTGTGTCAGGGTTTTATAACTAGTCAAGGTCATTAAACATATCAATCACCAACTTTCCTGATTAGGTGAGGCTGTTAAGGAGTGAAGTAAATTGAGTACTACTGTTAAACAGGTAAAACATCAAATTATCAAACAAATTTGATGGATTGTTGCATGTGTTGTGCTATCTTTGTTAGGAAGATTGTGTACATAAATTAAAGTAATTAAGTACAATGTAATATATAAGTCAAATTTATAATGAACCTTTTGAAACACACAGAACGTTAGTGATCAATTATTACAATACACATTTGACACATTTTAATTTACCACTACATAACATAATTTTATTGTTTTAATTTACCACTACATAACATAATTTTACTGTTTTAATTTACCATTACATTACATAATTTTACTGTTTTGATTTACCATTACATTACATAATTTTACTGTTTTGATTTACCAATATATTACATAACTTTATACTGTTTTAAGTAGGAAAATGGATCACTTTAAGTATTCAAGTAGCCAGATGAGGCCAGTTATTTTTCATCATAAGTATCATATATATAATTGTCTAAGACAGAGGACACTTTCTTTCATATCTACAACAGATGACACTTTCTCTACAATCTAGAGAGGACACTTTTTCTAGTATCTAAGACAAGATGACACATGCCCTCTATCTATGACAGAGGACACTTTATCTCGTATCTACAACAGATGACACTTTCTCTACAATCTAGAGAGGACACTTTTTCTAGTATCTAAGACAAGATGACACATGCTCTAGTATCTATGACAGAGGACACTTTCTCTGGTATCTACAACAGATGACACTTTCTCTACAATCTAGAGAGGACACTTTTTCTAGTATCCAAGACAAGATGACACATGCTCAAGTATCTATGACAGAGGACATTTTCTCTTGTATCTACAACAGATGACACTTTCTCTACAACCTAGAGAGAACATTTCTCTAGTATCTTAGACATATGACACATGCCCTATCTAGTATCTATGACAGAGGACATTTTCTCTTGTATCTACAACAGATGACACATTCTCTACAATCTAGAGAAGACACTTTTCTAGTATCTTAAGACATATGACACTTTCATTATATAATTTGATTTCCAACACTTTGGTCCTTTGTGGGACTTTTCGAGATAAAATCTAACTAGCTATTGTGACTATTAAATAAGATCTTCAAAAAGTATCAGTGATATAACATCATTGTTCTCTTCTCAAAGGAATAAAAGCAAATGTGGGGTAAAATTACATGGATAATTCTTAAAGCAGACAATTTGTTTAATTTGATGATGTTAAGTAATTAATATATCAAACAGCACAGGCAATGCGGCATGTAAACAATTATTAACAAAATATTCTTAAGCAAAGCATAGACTAATTATATAAATAATGGATTTCACTGACTGTATCACCAGGTAATTATGGTTTACACTAATGAGAGTCAATAAGTACAAAGACTGGTAACAAAAGTCAACATCAACATTATCAATGTTTCAACTGATTTACATTTAGGTCTTTATAAAAAAAAATATCAAAAATGTTTTGTTCATGTTCATTTCAAACTAAATAATTTGTAAACTGGCCATTACTTATATATATATATAAAGAAGGACATCCAACAAGTATGTCCAATGTACAGGCTCTGTAAAAATTGTTCATTCAAAACATTCTGTAAATAGTTACTAACAAATGAGACTAAAAATTTGCACCACATCTAAAGCTTTCTCTAAATTCTTCATATTATCCAATTTAACTGCATAAAACTTTCACCAATCATTATTGTTCTGAGCATGTGTCTTTATTTCCAAGGAAACAAATGATATCAGTACATACACAGTGGATATCTACAGCAGTGCATCGTGTTGATTCATAATTTTGAAGGTTTGTGTTGCTTATCAGTTGTATTCTGTATCAATAGCATACTTTTCTATAACATTTCATAAAAAATTGCTTTATGCAGGCTAAGTTGGACACAAAGTAATGTTCCTGAATATTTCTGTGTATGTATTATTTAGCCAGATTTCATAGATCAAAGACATTCACAAGGCTAAAGAATGTAGAAAGAATGTACACTTTCCTGTATATCAAAATGAAGGAAACAAGTAATCCAAAATTTCACACTTTAATTCAAATTCTAAAAACATATTTTATAAAATTTATGTCAAATATTTTAGTTCCCAACTACTTATCTAATAGCTTATATATGAGATTTTATTTACATACATGTTTATTACTGTAGGCAAGTGTAAATCGATGGAAACATTGACAATAAACTACATTTTTTGTACACTTGTTTTGTAAAAATTAATTACATCTGTTTAAAATAAAACCTCTTGGGCTTTAATTTCTTCTTTACAATACAATATGAAACATTTTGCCCTTATACATCTAAAATTTCAATAAGCACAGTTTTGGCATCAGAAGAGAATAAGTATATTTATGAAAAATGTGATCCATTAAAAAAACTTCTACATAAAACTATACTGCAGGTACTGTGCATATACTTTATAAATGAAAATAACCATAACAAAGTTAAAACTAGAATATGAAAGACAACTTGCACACCATTATACAATAGAATAACAAATAGCATACATCAATTCCTTAAAACAGTCAACATGTATAATCACAGACACCATTTAACATCTTAAAATACAAAATTTAAATTGGAAAATTCTAAATATTAAGCTTTAACACAGAAAATCACTTCTCTCTTTTCTTTAAATAAAAAATATAAAAATAACACATTGCTTTTAGAAATGATAAGTCCAGTATTCTCATCAAAACTTCAAAGACACCTTTTAGTTTTACTTATTTGATATAAAGTAATTATAAGAACAAATCCACATGAGCTATAGAATATCATGTGGATATAGGCTCTACACATGAGCTATGGAATATCATGTGGATATAGGCTGTACACATGAGCTATAGAATATCATGTGGATATATATAAAGGCTGTACACATGAGCTATAGAATATCATGTGGATATACGCTGTACACATGAGCTATAGAATATCATGTGGATATATATATATAGGCTGTACACATGAGCTACAGAATATCATGTGGATATAGGCTGTCAAGTTTCATAAAATTGTAGTTAATTATTGTAAAAATCAAGTAAGCAATGTTTAAAGGAAATGGTTAGGATTAATTATATGTCACAGGCTATACCATGATAATGACTGATGGATGTTTTACTGTAGAATAAAGAATGAAATATGACAATATTTACCCAATGAAAAAGTTGAATGAATTTATATTCTTTGCTAATGATTCAATCAACAGTTCTTCCAATATATTTTAAGCAATTCATTACACCTTAATACTAAACTGATTTAAATGCATAATAAAGGCAAGATTAAAATTAAACTGATACCCAAATACCACAACTACAGGTACTAACCACTTGTATAGTACAAACAATAATGTTATTATATCACATGTAACTGCATTAACAGCTGGTTAAAATTGCACATCATCTTTGAGATTCCATCTCATTAAATAAAAACATCTCTTCCAAATTTACTCTATGATCCAGCTTCCTGCTCTTGACCTAAGCCTTCCAATATTATACCCATTGGAGTTCTTTTCAATCCAATATGTTCAATTCTATTTGTTATCTTGTTTTTCACATTCCTCATTCTAAGTGATGCATGAACAATTACTACTGCAATAATAAGAAATAGATCATAAATAAATGCATGAAGGAGATATGAGATCTAAATAAATGGGGAATGTGTCCATGGAACACAGATGATGCCCCCTCTTGCATATCCTGTTATAAAGGGACATAACTCAAGAACTGTAAAAGTGATGCTACCCAAATTTGTACTTGATCAGAGTTTTGTGGTAATTAGCATTGTGTATACGTATCATAACATTTGGTTGAGGCAAACTTAAGTTAGATAACCGAAACAATAAATCCAGCAATTTTTCCATTTGTAAAGGGGCATAACTCTAGAACAGTAAAAGTGACGGCACCAAAATTCAAACTTGATCTGTATATTGTGGTAATAAGCATTGTGTATAAGTTTCATAACATTTGGTGGAGGCATACTTAAGTGAGAGAAGGGAAACGAAAAATTTAGCAACTTTTCCATTTGTAAAGGAGCATAACTCTAGAACGATAAAAGTGACGCCACCAAAGTTTAAACTTGATCTGTGTTTTGTGGTAATAAGCATTGTGTATAAGTTTCATAACATTTGGTTGAGGCAAACTAAAGTTAGAGAACGCAAACAAAAAATTAAGCAATTTTTCCATTTGTAAAGGAGTATAACTCTAAAATGGTTAAAGTGACGCCACCAAAATTTAAACTTGATCTGTGTTTTGTGGTAATAAGCATTGTGTATACGTTTCATAGCATTTGGTTGAGGCAAACTAAAATTAGAGAACAGAAACATAAAATTCAGCAATTTTTCAATTTGTAAAGGAGCATAACTCAAGAACTGCAAAAGTGATGCCACCAAAATTCAAACTTGACCTGTGTTTTGTGGTAATAAGCATTGTGTATAAGTTTCATAACGAGGCAAACTAAAGTTAGAGAATGGAAACCAATTTTGGGATGTCCGTACGGACGTAGAGACGGACAAGGGTAAAACTTAATGCCCCCTCCGCTACGGCGGGGGCATAAAAAGCAATAGTGTAATCATGTCACAAGATAATGGATATGTCTCATTGTGGCAAACCAGGAAAATTTCTTACTAGCTGACATTATGTTTCATCATCATGTTTTTGTCATTTAAAGTATTTGGTGTTGTTGGTGGATCTACAATAAATTCTGCTACTTTATTTAAAACTTTTCAAACTCTGGGCCATTTACATTGTAGACCTTGACATATGACAATCATATATCTTGCTGAAAACCATGAATGCCCTCTTGATGTCTTGGTTTTTTGTGTCACTGGGTTGATGTCTCATTACAGTGACAAACACACCACATCATCTTTTGTTCACCTAATTACCTTTAAGGGCTTTTCAATTATGCATGTACCAAGAGAAGTCACTTTCAAATAGGAGTAACCACCCATTGAGGCAAATTTCGAATTTCACTTACTTTTTCACTGTACTTAACACCTTCCCATAGTCATGCTAGTTCCATGGGTCCCTTGTATATCTTTATGGGTCAGTCTCAGTAATAAGTTAACGTGGTTAATACATTGTATATCATGTATATTGTGTAATGATGAATTTTTAGTGATTTGATTGACTTTTGTTTTATATTTGTTTACAGTCAGATTAGAATACAGATCCTGTGTCCAAGCTATTTACTTTTATCCTACTGACAATGACTGATTTGGTTGTTTTTACTTTTTTTTTTACAGATAAACACAAGTTACAAAATGTATATCTTAAATAAATGTGGATTGTGTCCACATGTGGACACAGATGATGCCCCCGTTTGCATATCATATAGTTATAAAGGGACATAACTAAAGAACAGTAAAAGTGATGCTACCCAAATTTGAACTTGATCTGAGTTTTGTGGTAATAAGCATTGTGTGTAAGCCTCATAACATTTGGTTGAGGCTAACTTAAATAGAGAACAGAAACTAAAAATTCAGCAATTTTTCTATTTGTAAATGCGCATAACTCTAGAACGGTTGTGTATAAGTTTTATAACATTTGGTTGAGACAAACTACAGTTAGAGAACGGAAACGAAAAAATTCAGCAATTTTTATGTTTATAAAGGGACATAACTCAAGAATGGTAAAAGTGATGCCACCAAATTTCGTACTTAATCTGTATTATGTAGTAATAAGCATTGTGTATAAGTTTCATAACATTTGGTTGAGGCAAACTAAAGTTAGAAAACGGAAACAAAAAAATTGTACATTATCTTAGCTTTGAGGTAATGAATATTGTGTATAGGTTTCATAATGTTTGGTTGGGGCAAACTTAAGTTACAGAATGGAAACTAAAAATTTTTCAATCTTTTGATTTATAAAGGGGCATACATGTAACTCAATAATGGTTAAAGTGACACTACCCAAATTCAATTTGATCTGTGTTTTATCAGTGGAAGGCAATATTAAACATTGCATTGTATAAAGCATTGATTGTAGTTGATTCAACTATAATCATGGACAAAGGAAGATAACTCCAATTTTTAAAATTACTTGAATAATGCTATTGATATTTTTAGAAATTACATTTAGTTAAGACAAACTCAAGTTAGAGAACGGAAACGAAAAATTCAACATTTTTTTCATTTGTAAAGGGGCATAACCCTAGAACGGTAATCAAAGTGCTTGTAAGCACTGAATGGTAAAGATTGCTTTAATTTATCAGTAGGAAGTAAAATTGAATATTGCATTGTATAAAGCATTGGTTGTAGATGATTCAACTATCATTATGCACAAAGAAAGATAGCTCCACTTTTCAAAGAAGACTTTAAAATGTTTTTAGAAATGAAGGGTAAAAATTGCTTTAATTTATCAGTGGAAGGCAAAATTAAACATTGCATTGTATAAAGCATTGATTGTAGTTAATTCAACTATAATCATGGACAAAGGAAGATAACTCCAATTTTAAAAATGACTTGATAATTAGAAAAAAAAATAAAAATTGTTAAATTTTTCCATTTGTAAAGGGCATAACTCTAGAACAGTAAAAGTGACGGCACCAAAATTCAAACTTGATCTGTATATTGTGGTAATAAGCATTGTGTATAAGTTTCATAACATTTGGTGGAGGCATACTTAAGTTAGAGAACGGAAACGAAAAATTTAGCAATTTTTCCATTTGTAAAGGAGCATAACTCTAGAACGGAATAAGTGACGCCACCAAAATTCAAACTTGATCTGTATTTAGTGGTAATAAGCATTGTGTATAAGTTTCATAACATTTGGTTGAGGCAAACTAAAGTTAGAGAACAGAAACCAACTTTGTGACGTACAGACGGACGGACAGACAGATAAGGGTAAACTTAATGCCCCCTCCGCTACGGCGGGGGCATAAAAAAATTAATTTAGTTAAATTAATAGGATACACATACTACAGGTGTAATACTATAAAACATGTGAGACTAGTAGTGGTACTTACAAAGCAATGGGAATGCTATGCCAAACATGAATACTATCACTGCCCCAATCATATATACTAGTAAGTATCCTACAGCTAAAACTATTAAAACACTGATCAGTGGATGATCTTGTTTAAACCGACGAGCTGTCCATTGCGAGTTTGTACAATATACGAAGACGCCAAACGCCACTGATATGGCAGCAAAGCCACATACCATTTTAACAGGATGAAGAATTCTGAAAAGTAAACAAATACTTATAACATCATTCAGCATACTTATTTGGTTCTGCTTCATCTTGGTTAAAAAATTTCAACCAAAAGAATTTCACAAATGGTTGTTTCCAAGTATTTGTGGTAATTGTTTTCCAATATGCTTAGAACCATAATCCATAACTTTTTAAAGCATTGCCTTAAATATGTTAAAACAGACACAATTATCACTATTTTATTAAAATCCTGGGTTAAATTCCCTAAAAAAATAAATAAAATAAACTGCTTCGCCCAGCGCAGCTGGATACGACTGCAGAGGTCCAACCCTGAACAGTTGGTGCAAAAATGGACACAATATTCAAGCTTGATACAGGTCTGAATTTAGATTGTACCTAAATATTTGACACATTAGAGGTTTCTGACACAGAATAAAAGTAGTCAAAGAACTTGAAATTGGTTGTATATGAATTTATATTCAATTGAAGATTTCTTGCTCTTGTGCAATACACTGTGCTGTTGCGCAATACTTAGTAAATCTGTTTTCAGACAAAGAATTAGCAAAATAAATTGTGACCCCCAATTTTTTCTTTGGAAAATTGAAAATTTCTTATATCTTGATGACACAGAATAAAAGTAGTCAAAGAACTTGAAATTGGTTGTATATGAATTTATATTCAATTGAAAATTTCTTGCTCTTGTGCAATACACTGTGCTGTTGCGCAATACTTAGTAAATCTGTTTTCAGATAAAGAATTAGCAAAATAAATTGTGACCCCCAATTTTTTCTTTGGAAATTGAAAATTTCTTATATCTTGAGAAAAAAAAAATGGACCCCCCCCATTTTTTTTAACCCCCCCTCTCCAAAAAAATGTTTGAAGAGAATTTTTTGAGGGAAAAAAAATTGAACCCCCCCCATCCAAAAAAATAATTTTGAAGAAATTTTCTTTTTGTAAAATGTGGTACAAATTAAGAGACATCCATACATTAAACACATGTTTGTCTGAAAACTAGAAAAATGCTTGTTTTAGACCCTTTTTGGCCCCTTATTCCTGAAAAGTTTGGGCAATTACCCCCAAAATGAATCCTAACCTTCTACTTGTGGTATTGAACCTTGTGGTACAATTTCAGAGCAATCAAAATACTTATACACAAGTTATTGTCCTGAAACTAGTTTTGGCCCCTTTTTGGCCCCTAATTCCTAAACGGTTGGGACCATCACCCCCAAAAACAATCACAACCTTCCTTTAGTGGTATTGAACCTTCTGATTAAATTTCATAGAGATCCATACACTTAAATTAAAGTTATTTTCCGGAAACCAAATGTCTTCGGATGACGCTGACGACGACGACGTGATACCAATATACGACCGCAAAAAATACGATCGTATAAAAACTAAGTCCATCTTTCATAAAAATACTGAAAAGGAAAAAAATATAATTTCAAAAGTTTGCTTCAGACATTATCTCTTAATCATAAAAAAGCTTCTGACAAAGTTTCATAAAATTCTATGAATGTTTGACAAATTAATTGATGTGTAACAAACTTTGACTCCAGATTGTTTTTACTTGTTAGGCCAAAAAAAAATATATGTCTGTTTAAGGTTACATCATTACATAAATAAATTGCTTCGCTGAGTATAGCTAGATACGACGGCAGAGGTCCAACCCTGAACAGTTGGGGCAAAAATGGAAACAATATTTGAGCTTGATACAGGTCTGAATTTGGATTGTAATTAAATATTGACACATAATAGGTTTCTGACACAGGATAACTGTAGTCAAAGAACTTAGAATTGGTTATATGATTTGAATTTATATTCAATTTTTTGCTTTTGTGCAATACACTATGCTGTTGCGAATTTTATTTTTGATTTCTGAAATCTTGAGGAGAAAAAATTGTCCCCCCCTTTTTTTTTAACCTCCACCCACTTCCCCCAAAAAAAATTCTTTCCCTCAAGATATGGTCATAATCTCAATTCAAATTTCCAATGGAGTTTGCAACCATAATAACCCATTTAAATACATCATAAAAGTCTTAAAATAGCAAATGACATACATAATCATGGCTAAAATTAATATACCTTAATCAGCATTTTTAAAATTATTAAAATAGTAACTTCTAAAATTAATTGACAGCTAATCACCTCAAGACAAGATAACATTTCTTTATTCATAATTTAAAAGCAGTGTAAGGGAGGTAATTCAAACACAACATTGTACTTTAAGTAATTGTCCATTAACCAGGACCCCCTTGTTTTTTCTCTCTTTTCTGCCCCTTATTCCTAAACGGTTTGAGCCATAACCCCCCAAAGCCAATCTTAACCATCCCTTTGTGGTATGGAAACTTGTTGTACAATTACAGAGAGATCCTTACACTGTTCCACAAGTTATTGTCTGGAAACTAGAAAAATGCTTATTTGGGCCCCTTTTTGGCCCCTAATTCCTAAACTGTTGGGACCATAACCCCCAAAATCAATCCCAAACTTCCTTTTGTTGTTATAAACCTTGTGTTTAAATTTCAAAGATTTCTATTTACTAATACTAAAAGTTATTTGTCGTATAAAAACTGCATTTTACCCCTATGTTCTATTTTTAGCCATGGCGGCCATGTTGGTTGGCAGGCGGGGTCGTCGGACACACTTTTAAACTAGATACCCCGATAATGATTGTGGCCAAGTTTGGTTAAATCTGGCCAAGCAGTTTCAGAGGAGAAGATTTTTGCAAAAGTTAACGTACAACGACGACGGACGCCAAGTGATGAGAAAAGCTTTTAGGCCAGGTGAGCTAAAAATAAAACAAATGAAAACGAATATCCAAAATGAGAGATTAATTTCTGTCATAGTTAAAACAATAAGTTTAGTTTGATATATAAAACTAAGTAATCAGATAATGATTAATTTTAAAATTTAAGAAGATTGTTGATTGCTTATCATTTCTTTGATGAACATAATTATTAATTATGCTTTTGTTATAACCACAATGGAAATAATACTTAAAGTATGGACAATATGTCTTTACAAGATATGGATAACATATTCTATGGACGATGTGCGTATAGCAGACACATCCTGTGGACGATGTGGAAGTATAGCCGTAGTGCTCGAAAGCAGCCAGTGCCAGTCAGAAAAGGTATCGGGTCCGTTCGCCTTGATAACTTATTCGCCCTGGGTCCGTTCGCCCTGAGTTTGTTTATCCATATAGTCCGTTCGCCTTGGGTTCGTTCTTTCTACTTTTATTAAAAAATATTAATAATAAGGGTATAAAAATTTAAAAAACTTATTCAGATATTTATATGGTATAAATTCTCGAAAGTCATGAAAACACATGGAAATATTTAAAAGTTGATGGCTTGTTTTGGAGCATTGATAGTTCATTATAATAATTCTCACTGATTGTTGTAATAATTGTCTTTAATGGATTAATAATAAAAACATTTTGTTTTGATAAACAAATCAGCTTGCAAGGAGTAAAAACAATGATGCACGGATTTATAAGTTCATTTACTATTATACTGCATAAATCAATGTAAATTGACTTGCTAGAATTATCAAATTTGTTAACAAATATCAATAAAGATAAGTACATTGTATTCCAGTATTCTACTATGCAAATCAAAGGAAAAGAATTATTAGGTTGCAGCAATACAAATATTCGGCAAATTTTTCAACAAACTTTAACATACTCTGTTCAAATAATAAAGATTATGCAACTAGCTATAGACAACATTCAACAATAAAAAAAAATAAAAAATCAGGGCGAATGGACCCTGGGCGAACAGGTATTAGGGCGAACAGGTACTAGGGCGAATGTGAATCAGGGTGAACGGACCCGGCTTCGTCAGAAAATCACTCTGTCTCTGAACACAGGATCCCAAAAGGGATTTGCAAGATCTTGCATTCGCCATTCGTCATGTTCGGTAGGCCTGCGCTTTTTATTACCAAATTAATAAGCTTCAGGCCTCATGTATTTAGACTACACAAATAAAATTCGAAACCAATATATTAAACCCTCAGGCAGCACCTGCCTCATAAACTTTGTAAGCATACCCAATCAATAAAAAGACCATCAAAGCTACTAAGAAATAATTCGTCTGATAATACAGTAAATTGTTCAGAACTCTGTTCGCCCATTTCTCTGCGTCTTTGATGTTAGGAACTTGAAATCTAGCAGAGTCCAATACAAAATCACTCATGGAACGAAGAGGGGCAATCTGTACTTCGGCCATGCTGTCAATATTGAGGCCGCTTGCAGCCTTTGAGTATCAAACATTGATACAAATCGGTGAAATGCATGTTATGCAAAGTGTGTTTATGTACAAATACTTTGAACAAAAATAAAAAGAATTGGCATTTGTTTTATACAGTAAATTTAAATATATTATTTTTTTTAAATGTTGTTATGATATAAGCAATAATTTACAAAAAATTACGCCTTTAGATTGTTTCATTATAGAATCATATGCTGTACACAAAATTACAGTTTGGTATTTCCAATAACAACACGCTACAACTTTCCAAATAGGAATAAAATTATATAATGTTTCTCTTTAGAGGATACCAATATACATGGAACAGAAATGCAAAAATAATAATATTTTGCAAATTTTATTTACATTTAGCTAAATCATTATATTGAAATGCAACTGAATAGTGTATAATTTTATGTACGTTGTGGTTAATTTTTGTTTCCATTTTTGAAAGCGTTAGTTTTATTATTTGTGATATCTAATGTAGTCAATTCTGATACCGTATAAAATACTTATCAATAATAGCATCTGCATGATACTAACGTTTGCTACTGTATGAATTTTGTTGATTACATTTAAGAACCTAAGTTATACCAACCGGTAAAAATCATAAAAAGAAAAAACAGGTACAAATGAATTTGAAGCCAATGTAACATTTTCATGAGAACGAAGTTATCGTGTGTACCCTCAGCTGAAAAAAAAAAATCAGTTTTCGTGTCAGAAGGTGTTCAATCTCGAAATTTTTGAAGAACAGAAAACATGGAAATGTAAACTGCCAGCAAAAAGGACAGAAAGTTGCTTGAAAAAAGTTTTATAGAGCTCTATCTTGTTTGGTATTTTCTCAACAATTACTTGACAAAAGCATAATGAATACTGTAGATATATCAAAGAAATGACAATTAACAATTAACATGATTAACAAATGATCAGAGGGATAATTTATTGTTTTTATCATGATAAGAACAACAACCTTCTTCACTTTTTACAAAATGTATGCCCCCGCCGTCACAGAGGGGGCATTAAGTTTTACCCTTGTCCATCTGTACATACGTTTGTCTGTCAGTACGTACGTCCCAAAGTTGGTTTCCGTTCTCTAACTTTAGTTTGCCTCAACCAAATGTTATGAAACTTATACACAATGCTTATTACCACTAAATACAGATCAAATTTCAATTTTGATGGTGTCACTTTTACCGTTCTAGAGTTATGCTCCTTTACAAATGGAAAAAATTGCTAAATTTTTCGTTTCCGTTCTCTAAAGTTTGCCTCAACCAAATGTTATGAAACTTACACACAATGCTTATTACCACAATATACAGATCCAGTTTGAATTTTTGGTGCAGTCACTTTTACTCAGGCCATAATCTTGCCGGCTAAATGACGATTTAAGTCGCCAAAGAATTTTGAAAATCGCTAAATCTCGCCGGCCAACTGACTTCATAGTGAAGTCAAATCGCTATCAAAACCGGTAAAAGGGAGACTACTTGCGATTTACAAGTCGCACAGGTGAAAAAAAAATGGCGACCTTCAAGGAAAATCAAGATTTTCGAAACGACCCAGGACTATTACTGTCGACGATTAAATTAAATAAATACAACGGCGACTTTGAACATCCTCGGATATAAGATTCAAAACTATTCAAACGGAAAACTGATTGTCTGTTTAAGTTATCATTTTACAATGATTTTCATCTGAGGATGTTGAGTAATCACTCAGCTGATTTGTTTTATTTTCATTTATTACGAGTCGATCAATTGTACTATTCGGTAGGTTAAGGATGGGAATTAACGGAAGATTTATTACATTGTATATTCATTAAATAAAAATTGAAATATAAAAGGTAGAAAGAAATGTGATTGCAAACGTACGACTCTACCAGCTTGTGATCAGCAGTGGATTTTTTATTTCACGACCATTTCGTTGATATGGAAGATATCTTTAAAATATGATAGAAATTAGCTCTTTATAGGTTAATTAATATGCGATTGGGAGATATCTTCATATATAGGCTTACAATCTTTAACGAGAATCTCAATTTACAACTAACATGATGTCGTGGACATTCAGTAATGTTTTACAAAATAATGACAAGTGGTGACATAGGTATGCTGTTTCCGGCGTTGGCGGCAACGGCGGCGGTCTGCGTCAAGACAAGACATATCTCTGTGTTAACAGAGTATATATTAAAGTGATGTTAAGTTTATTTTACGATTTTGACATAAGCTGAGAGGTTACTTTCCTTTTAAAATCTTTTACTTGATACTATTGGAAATTGCACTTAACAGCTGATCATTACATGTCTCTTTTCAATTTTTTTGTCTCGCCTTTGACAAAAATCACGGAAGGCAAGACATAGGTGTTGCTTTTCCTCTGGTGAGGTCAACAGTTGTTTAGTTTTCTGTTTAATTCATATCGATAGGAACTACTTGTAATAGATCAATGATAATTTTCTATAAAGTTGCATAGCTACAGTCATCCTGCTGAACCACAGGCCCAGCAGCCCAGGCTTGTAAAATCCCTTTCGGGCCTGTAAAAAGCTACAGGCCAACAGAATCGACCTAAAATTTTCCAAAAATTAAGCTCCTGGCCTGCAGAACTAAAAGTTTATCGTGAAGACTGTAGCTAACAGTGCATATCAATTTGCATTACTATCAGTTTGATGACTATTTGAGGCCCTTCCCCCTAGGCCAGTGATTTTAAGTTTATTAGCAATTTTCAATGTTAAGTTTTCTGGTTAAGTCAGTTTGATAGGAATTACTTGTGAAAGATCAACGATATTTTCTATAAAGTTGTATTACTATCATTACATATCAGTTTGACGACTGTTTCCAGGCCCTGTCGCCGTATGTCCAGTGATTTTTAATAAATTACCAATTTTCAATGTTAAGTTTTCTGCTTAAATAGTTTGATAGGAACAACTTATGATAGGCAATGATATTTTATATAAAGTTGCATTACTATCAGTACATCTCAGTTTGTCAACCATTTCAAGGCCCTGCCCCTAGTTCATGGTCCAGCGGCTTTGAATTAATTAGCAATGTTGCTGTTCATTAAAATATCTTTTTCTGAATTTTCTGCCAACAGGCGAGGCATATCTCTGTGTCAACAGTGTATTATATTTATTTCTAAGGGAATCAGAGTTATATAATAATATTGTAAAATTGTAAACTCACACCAACGTCAACTCGTACCACAAATAGCAACTTTGTACCATTGTCAAAATGTACCACAGTAAAAACTCTAACCAGCACAAACTCATACCAACTTATTTAAATACATCCAAATTGACCTGATCTTTTTATATCACTGATAATACCACTTGGCATCCGCCGTCTGTCATCCCTCATCATCCTTTTAACTTTTAAAAAAATCTATGAAAATACTAGGCCAAATTTAACTAAACTTGGCCACAATCAGCATTGTGTTATCTAGTTTAAAAAATGTGTCTTATGTAAAAATAAGGAGATGTGGTATGATTGCCAATGCAATAAGACAACAATCCACCAAAGTTCAAATGAAGTGGATGTAAGCAATTATAGGCAACCGTACGGCCTTCAACAATTTGAAAAACCCATACCGTATTGTCGGCTATAAAAGGCCCTGACATGAAAAATATGAAACAATTCAATTGAGAAAACTAACGGCCTTATTTATAACAAAACAATTTAGGGAGCAACCATTTAACTTCAAGGGAGGGTTACGGTTTTTTGTCTGAGTCAGAAATTTTTTTCGACGCTATCAATCAAAATATATTTTTTCAAAATTGAATACTATATGAAGGTATGGGGAAAATCTGGATTCAGAATATTTTTTGGATCATCTGCTTGATCACAATATTTTTTTTCATCAAATTGGGAATCAGAATATTTTTTTAGGAAAAAACCATAACCCCCCACCCTGAAGTTAAATGGTCGTTCCCTTATGAAAAACAAGTATGACAGACATGAACCAACAACAACCAATGAACTACAGGCTCCTGACTTGGGACAGGCACATAAAGAATGTGGCGGTGTTAAACATGTTCACTCCTCCCCCTAACCTGGGACAGTGGTGTAACAGCATGAACAGTACAACATAAGAACAAACTATAAAAATCAGTTGAAAAAGGCTTAACTCATCAGATGGATAAACATAGAAATACATCTAACAAAAACACAGAGTGGACGTGGACGGGTACTTATACATCCCCACAACAAAAAGACACTAAGTACAGATCTGAGAGTACTCGCAGTTACTGACAGCTAGTTCAAAGCCAATAACAACTAATAAAAAAAAACATGTATCTAAGACTAAAATATCAATCAGTAAACATCCAACATCCAATGGATTTAGTGTAAAGATGTCATTAATAGTCAGATCTGGCAACCAACATGGCTGACATTGATTAAAATATAACATGGGTAAAATGCAAGTTTTTCTGTTATCTTGAAAACTGCTATTAATAAAGAAAATCTGACATAGGCAACAAAGTTCAAAATATTGAGATCTACCTATTGTTTATTTACATCAAAACTTCTATCTTTTAGGAGTTATTGCCTTTAAATGGCTAATTTTACCATTATTTTCCATTTTTGACTATTATTTTTTAGATTATTGTAGATAGAGAGAAACTTTGAATAGCAGAAATGACCAGCAAGACAAGATCTAAAAATAAGTGTTATGCCATAACACTTATTTGTAGTAGTAGATCTTATCTTGCTGACTGCTATTCAAAGTTTCTCTCTATCTACAATAATTTTCTAAAATAATAGTCAAAAATGATAATATTGGTAAGATTAATGCAGGTCGAAATTGTCAGACAACTCCTTATTGGAGTTGTTGCTTTTTAAGGATGTTTGCTCCTCTGTTTAAAAATAACAAGATTAGTAGATTAGTTACTGTAAAAGAATGTTATAAATTGATAGTTTATAAATAACAGAACTTAGGAAGTACCATAAAACACAGATCAAGTTTGAATTTTGATGGTGTCACTTTAACCGTTCTAGAGTTATGCCACTTTATAAATGGAAAAATTGCAAAATTTTTATTTTCTTCTAAATATCAAATTCAAGTAATTTTTAAAATTGGAGTTATCTTCCTTTGTCCATGATTATAGTTGAATCAACTACAATCAATGCTTTATACAATGCAATGTTTAATTTTGACTTCCACTGATAAAGCACAGATCAAGTTGAATTTGGGTAGTGTCACTTTAACCATTATTGAGTTATGCCATTTTATAAATCGAAAGATTGCAAAATTTTTAGTTTCAATTCCGTAACTTAAGTTTGCCCCAACCAAACATTATGAAACCTATACACAATATTTATTACCACAATTCTAAGATCAAGTACTAATTTTTTGTTTCCGTTTTCTAACTTTAGTTTGCCTCAACCAAATGTTATGAAACTTATACACAATGCTTATTACTACATAATACAGATTAAGTACGAAATTTGGTGGCGACACTTTTACCTTTCTTGAGTTATGTCCCTTTATAAACATAAAAATTGCTGAATTTTTCGTTTCCGTTCCCTTACTTTAGTTTGTCTCAACCAAATGTTATAAAACTTATACACAACCGTTCTAGAGTTATGCGTGTTTACAAATAGAAAAATTACTGAATTTTTAGTTTCTGTTCTTTACT